GTTCTGAAACAGACCCTCATCAGTAAATCTGGTCTTTACTCTACCAACATTCATTTGGAATCTATAGACCCTAGTAGTCCATAATTTTAAGACCCCCGTCTTTAAGCTATAGGTCCTCTGAATATAGACACTCGTCTATAGACCCTAATCCTTGGGAATCGATTTCTCTTTCATATGACAAGAAAATGCCTTGGCATCTGATCCATTTTTGAACAATTATAATGCCTTCATATTAATGAAATAGCCTGGTATAACCCTTGGTGGAAAACACTATGGCCACATGCTTAGATCTATTTGAGTGGTTGACTATGCCATTGGGTAGTGTTTTTCTATTCAATGAAGCGATCCTTGTCTATAATCTATAGGTGCTGGTATTTTATCAACTGACTCCAGACCTTCATCTCTAAACCCCTCACTTTTGAATCTGTAAATTCAATATGGTCAAAACACTTCCTTTCTTTTTTTAAATAGATGGAAGTTTATTGTATCATGTATAATTAATTAATATAATGGGCTTATCTCGTATAGTAAAGTATTTTAACTATATTCAGTTAATTTGAATGTGTGAAATCAATATAAAACCAATATTAAACCAATCCAATAATATTAATGAGACTTGAGTGGTACAGTCTGTATCTTGAGCCACTTTGAAAGACTTCAGAAGGACAAGGAAATGTGTTAAATTCCCAGGTTATTGAGTAAGAAGTATTGCGCTTCCATGTGTCCTCACATCTTTCTGACATGTCGACTCACTGACCCACATAATATGATGAAAGAACCATTTCCCCATGCACCGTTTGACCATTTAGAAAGTCAGAAAGGATACGGAAACAAGCATGTCGTTTTTAAAGGTCCCCTATTATACTTTTTTCATCAATATATCATAGGTCTCAGATATATATAAAACATGTCTCTGAAGCGTTTGGCTTGAAACACCAAACGGATCATTGCAGCATCCCATAATCCCCTCTGTTTTAGCCCTGTTTTAAAAGGGCTGATTCTCTGTCTGTTACTTTAGATGAAAATAAGGAGCCCCTCCCCACTCCCCTCTGAGAGATATTTGGTTGAAAAGAACACAATAGCCGCTTTCACACCAAGTACTTTGCCGCACTTAGTTCCCAGCACTTAGTTCCCCCATGGAACTAAGAGCCGATCACGTTCACACCGGAATAAGTTCCCTGAGGGAGGATTAGGCAAATGAAGCCGCTGACGTCACTTCTTCTTCTTCTGATTTGGGTTTACTGGCTGGCCGCAAACAACTTCACGGCGTATACTGCCACCCGAAGTCCCTGGCCGGAAGTCCCCGGAGTTGGGGACTGGCTTCAGTAGAAGCTGCTGGGACTCCCAGCAGCTTCTACTGAAGCCTTCCGAGTAAATCGCCAGAACGCCGAAACCTTATGGCAACACAAAAAAACAAAACATCTATGGAACTAACTGATGGATAGTTTCAGAATGAGATGGTTTCTAATAAGCAAACGCAGCACGACAGCTCATAAAAGCTTTTATTTATCCATCTATCATCTGTTTTTTTTTGTGTTGCCATAAGTTATTCTCTCTCCGTTGGTGCGCGGGGCTAATGTTAATGCTAATATTGCTAATGCCAGCAAATACAATGGCGGCTTCAAAAAACGTTTCCGAGTTTTACGGGGCGTGGTTTGTAATTCGCCCAGCCAATCAGACATTTTAATGGAATTTACCTTGGTTAGGGTTATGACATCGTTATGACATCATAAAGTGACCAAAATCTGATCAGCTCATTTTCAGGCAGGTTTTTATATAAATGGATCAGGACAAAAAGTGAGCAAATCTTTTTTCCTGAACCTTTCAGAATCTCTTTACACAGAGATGTAGAAAAGACATGGAAAAAGTGGATTTTGCACAATAGGTGACCTTTAAATTGCGACTGGTGTAGAGTCGGAGGAGCTGTTGCTGGCTGTGGCCTTGTGATGGAGATTACTGCAGATTTAGATCATGGACTTCAGAGTAGAGGGAGCCAGGTACTATACGTTAAGAGCAATCAGCTGAGAAGACATGGACACACACTGTGTGTGTGTGTGTGTGTGTGTGTGTGTGTGTGTGTGTGTGTGTGGTGTGTGTGTGTGTGTGTGTGTGTGTGTGTGTGTGTGTGTGTGTGTGTGTGTGTGTGTGTGTGTGTGTGTGTGTGGTGTGTGTGTGTGTGATGTGTGTGTGTGGTGTGTGTGTGGTGTGTGTGTGTGTGTGTGTGTGGTGTGGTGTGTGTGTGTGTGTGTGTGTGTGTGGTGTGTGTGTGTGTGTGTGTGTGTGTGTGTGTGTGTGTGTGTGTGTTGTGTGTGTGTGTGTGTGTGTGTGTGTGTGTGTGTGTGTGTGTGTGTGTGTGTGTGTGTGTTGGTGTGTGCTGTGTGTGTGTGTGTGTGTGGTGTGTGTGTGTGTGTGTGTGTGTGTGTGTGTGTGTGGGTGTGTGTTTTGTGGTGTGTGTGTGTGTTTGTGTGTGGTGTGTGTGTGTGTGTGTGTGTGTGTGTGTGTGTGTGGTCATCTCCATGGAAACTCGGCGGAGAAAAATAAAAGCTTTTATGAGCTGTCGTGCTGCGTTTGCTTATTAGAAACCATCTCATTCTGAAACTATCCATCAGATGTGTGTGGGCCACTAGAGAGTCATGACTGCACAACCAAATGAAATCACACACAAATAAAATAGAGGTCTATTAATGGAATCATTTTTTTGATCAGAATGGAAGGGTGTAGGGATGACTTTTTTTCTTTTTTTTTTAAATGAGCATTGCCCTGGTTACCGTAACGAAAAGCCAATGGAATTTTTCCTTAGGGTTTTGGATTATTGCACAAAATAAGCTCCCTTGCAAACACATGTTTCTGATACTTATGCATTTCTTTCAGCAAGAAATGAACCCCGCATTAACGGTTTTTCAAGTAAAAAGCCAGAAGTAAAAAGCTAAAGGCAAACTACACCACAGTTACATGACCAAACAATGATTCTCTCCACGCTTTCTTTTTTAAAGAAAAGCCTTTCTTCTTAGCGTCATTTAAGATGGATCGTAAATATTTGCAAATGTGCATGTTTAAACTCAACAAAGCTCTGAAGGCGTGATTTTCTTTAGTGTCCTAGAAAGACCTGCAGTCTAATTTAGGAACTGCTTTTCAATCAATAAATGATTCAACCACATGTTTACCCAGCACGTAAAAGGTTACAAATTCACAATAGGGGTATTTACTGTTCTTTTAAAGTAAAACGTAAAAAAATATTTTCCGCCTGTGTTAGCCACAGATCTTATTTCAAGCCCCAAAAAAATGTAACTTTAAAAACACCCGTTGACTTTAAGAACAATGAACAAAATCGAGCACAGATGCTAAAAAATCTACGTTTTTTTGGACCATCTTCTCTTTGAATGTTACAGAAATTATCCTTAAAAAGGTCAATTGGTGCACCAACCTCTCGGAAAACCTGTCAAATTGTTCTTCTAAAGATGTCCCCTTTGAGAATAACTGCCAGTCAGCGTGCTCACTGGCTAAAACCACAAAGTCCCTGGTGCCATGTTCACGTCAGATTACACGGTGAAGCAAAGTGCAAGGGCCCTTCTCGCCACACGGAGCCATGTTTGCAAACCACTGAAGCGTTGCCAAACAGAGAGCGCTCTAAGACAACCAATCACAGGTCTGAGCTCCTGCAAGGCCACCACCTGTCCTTTTTAGAGGACACGTACAGTAAAGTTCAGAACATGCAGCCTAAACAAACTGCAGCTGGCTCTCCAAAACACCTCATTTTAAAAACACTGTTGAATAAGTTATGAGCTAATAGTTGGTGTTGAGATAAATTGGTGTTACTGCAGCGTTAGCAAAAGTCTGGGACATGTGATAGAGTTCAGTATAGATGGTTTCATTACAGAGCAATAAGGAAGTCATAACCTGTTCATGTTTACTGCGCTGTATAATGCAGAGGAGTGATGTCTGTGTTGTATAAACTGTTCTTTGAAAAGTCCACAGTAGTCATGGGTATTGAGCTTTAGTCAAGTGATAACAGTGCTTGTATATGAGTACATATGTTTACATTTTTATATAATGAATGTACAATTGAGCTAATGCCAGCTGCTGATGAAGACCAAAAGATTGTTGATAGCGCTGGTGAATTAAGAGGACATATTCTGCTCATGTTCAGGTTCATTATTGTATTCTATGCCTTTACTGTGACATGTTTCTATGCTTTAATGGTCAAAATGTCTTTATTTGTTTCATACTGCCCTCTTTTCACGCTCTGTCTGAAACCAGAGCCCAGTCTGCTCTGATTGGTTAGCTGGCAGGCTCTGTTGTGATTGGTCAACCTCTTAGAAATGTCCCGCCCCTTTGCCTGTTACATAATGTGTTGGATGCCAGCCAATAAAAGCGTAAGTGTAACATAGTGATGTCATTATGTTATGAAGTTCTGGCGTGAACTTTGAGACAAAACCCTATTCTTACACAATACAGGAAATAGAAAACTCCAAAAAGAATAATAGGGCAAATTTAAGTTTTTTTCAGACAAATAATTTAAATGTTAAGGTCACTATACCAAGTTTGAGGATTGCATTGGTCTCCTGCCCTGTGTAAACTAACCAAAGTTTGGGGGGGATAATAATTTAGTGAAAACAGTTTTTCTCATCAGGAAAAACTGAACCTTATTGTCTCATTTTGTTATTTTCAGCCAACTACATTTTAAGAGAAAATGAAATACTCGCTCCACATCATGAAGAGGCACCAGCCCAAGTTTAGTTGTGCCAGTCACAGTTTTTATTTTCTTTATCAAGGTGCCAATGAAGAGAAAATAAAATGGGGCAGGGGATATTAGTGTCGTCATGTGTCTCCAACACAAAAAATATGTTATTAACCTATTTTTATTCGTTTCTCTCAATGTTGTTTTTCATCATTAGGACAAAACATTTATCACTACAAAAAAAGAATATTGCCAAATCAAAGTGGTGTTGACTTTGATAGATAATCGCTAATTCTCCTTTCTCTGATTGTGTCTTCTGCAGCTCAAGATCTCATTCAATGAGTCGAGTCTCCAGAGTACGTATGAGTATCCGTCGGAGAACGGCGCATGGGACAGTGGGGACGAGGACGAAGACGAGGACGAGATGCACGATGAGAAGGTGTCTGACGAGCAGCCGAGCATGGTGGGACGCATCCACATCCCCCGACCCAGCTTCTCCATCTCCCCAACGCACAGCAACAACAGTAATGGTGAGAACAAATGAAATGTTTGGGTCATTTGATGTTTTTGTGGTAGACATGCAGGTTAGATGTCCAGTTTTAGCAGAATAAAAATGTTCCTGGGAAATTCCCTGCAAATATAAATATTCATGGTCCCCATAGGATGATCCCTAATGAATGGCAGCCCTCTCAATTTACCTCTGAAGCAAAACTCTCTATTTCTATATTCTAGTAGTCTAAAGCTAGACCACAACAAGGTATCTTGAAGTCCCATGGCTAAGTGACTCTTTAATGTCCCTGCTGATTGTCATGGTCCACAGAGGGTGAACCCTATAACAAGTTTTAACTGGTAACTCTCTGAAAGTTCTACTTGTTATACACAAACATCTACATTTGCGGGCATCATTGTTATTACATTTAAGCACATTCATGCTCCTCAGAGGATTAACAATTTCCCTTGTTGACATCCCACCAGCTTTCATCTTTCTATGGGTATATAAATACAAATTGTGTTTAAAACATTTTTTTTCTAGGACAGATTAGATCAAGTAAAACCAACTAAAATAGAAGGGGCACTCGGAGAGCTCAAACCTCCACCAAGACCAAACGGCATATAACGAAAAGGAAGAATAATTGTCTATCTGCATCGTGATTTGTATCGGCTCCGAAATCTTATAGGTTATTTCTAGGCTTATGCCCAAGTTTCATGAAAATCAGGCCAGTGTTTTTTCCATAATCCCGCTGAGAAACAAGCTAAACACATTACCTCCTTTAGATAGATAGATCTTTAATTTGTCATTGTACAGGTACAACGAAATTACAATGAACTCAAGGTGCCAACACGCGACAACAAGACAATATGAAAACAACAAGACACTATAAAAAACAACAAATGGGACTTAAATAGACATGATAGGGAATATGTACATAAATAAATAATAAATGAAATTGCACGATTCCCCTCGTATTGCACGGAAGGCTTATATCATTTAAATATTAGCAGCGTTTAGTGCACATATGGCCCTGAGGAAAAAATGAATTTGAGTCTGTTTGTCCGGGAAGACATGGTACAGAAGGGCCTGCCTGAGCACAGGATGTAGTAGTTAAGAAATATAAAATCAGAAGCACTAGCAAGACAAAATATGGATAGGACAATTTTATACAGTGGTAAAAATAGATAAAGAAGAACCAAAATAACCATAGACAGCACGATCAACAACATCTGAAGGAGAAATGTGCCGCAAGACAACATTATATTGTACCTTTATTATGACCCAGAGACATAAGAATAATAATAGTAATATGATAGAAGGTCAGTTGGGGACATGTTGTGTTTACCAGACAAACAACCAATAAGTCACTTCAGTTTTATGAAGGATGAAATCAAGATTTATTATTTACCCCCTAACTACCAGCCAATAATGACCAAATAAAAAGATACGCAAGCCGGCATTGGAAACTTAAATGACACCACTCCTAAATGGTTTAATGATAGATATGTTGGATCTTGCAATAAGTAAACACAGATACTGTTTTACTTTATTATAGTATTTGTAGTGAGTTTACATGAAGCAGCCCGCCCCTTAGCACCTGCATTGCAAAGGTGTTATGTTGTGAAATAAATGTTTGCTTCTGAGTAAAGTAATAGAAACAGGAAGTAGCCTGATGAGGACACTGCTTCTTTATTATAGCAGCATCCCTCCTGATGAAAGAGTACACACAACATTAGATATGATGACAGAGACCTCTACTGGACAAAGTGTGAACAGCATTTAATAAAAAGTGTGTGATACAGTTTCAGAGCTATTTCTGTTTCCATTTTCATTCTCTATCCGTCAAAAATGACTCAATAATATCTCATTAAATGGTAATTTCGCCAACACATTAATATAAATGAAGTTTTAACAGAGGCAACAACAACATGTCAGTAACACATCATGTCTTATTGTTGTGTGCAGACCTTTCGAGTTACATTCCCAAGCACTCTGTGGACTTCAGCGCCTGGCAGGAGCACAAACATGAAGACAGTGTTTACCAGGAGGAGAACGGCTCCCAGACGACTCAGATGACGGAGGAAGTGATGGTGAGAGAGGGGTTTCAATATAACAAATGAATCATTAAGACAATAGAACATGTGTTTCACTGGGGACATTTTCCTCCTTAAGGGTCTGTCTCTATTTTGGCCTTTCAATCATTTTACAGGTAATCTTATATTAAGTTCTGAGGTTAATTAAAAACACACACAACTCAAAGCCTCTGACTAAATAAACGGTATCTCACTTAACAGTCAAGTATATTGTAATACAACCGCTTCAATACATTTCTATGTAAGATAAGAGAGAAGATAAGATAGGACTTTATTTATCCTGAAAGAAATTGTTGTGCCAGAGTTACAAAAATACAATAAACACAGCAGCATAATAAAACAACTGTACACTATCAGTGCTGTGAAAAGAGCAATTAAAGAAACATAGACAGTCAAAGAATTAATGTCAAACTGTACAGTGACGAGCAGTAAAAAAAACGCAGTGGCAGGTACGTAATTGCACGTTATAATAGAACATTATTAATAATAATGATATTGCACATGTTATATAGCAGAGAGTTGTATAAGTATATGGCCATAAAAAAGGAATATTAAAAGGTTTAAAATAATGACAACATGATATCTCTCCTCCTCAGCTGACCCCCGCAGACAACTCCTCTCTGTCGGATTACAGCAGCGAGCCGGCTCTTTACTTCTGATCAGCGGACCAACAGCTGTCCAGTAGCATCACAGCTGTGGGACCAGCCTCTAAGCACATCGTCCTGATCTCACAGGCAACACAGTATTTCGTTATTCTGTTTTTGGGCTGATTTCCTGCCGCGGAACCGCCACATGCCACGTTATCAACCGCATATCAGAGCAGATTTGCCAGGTTTCGATTCCCACCTTCCTCCTGACCAAACACATTGAAAAAACAAAGCAGCTGGACTGTCTTTACCCTGCGATCCCGGACGGTTGATCTGTCCTCGTCGTCCCTCACAAAATTGAAATCTATCTAGACTGGCCTCTCCAAACCCCCCCCCCCCCCCCCTCCTGTCATTATCTGCTTCCAAGTCTTCAACGTTTGCCTCCGGTTTTTGGGAGCTTAAAAGCAAGGGACCAAACTCCTTACAGAGAACAGGAGGCCGCCAGTGCCCACATGTAGGTGTCGCCACGGGAACAGTGTTAGCATGGAAACATGTCATTTAGGACGTCGAGGACACGTCTGCTTGTGTAGATCGCCGGCACACTCAAACACACAAAAACACACAAAAAAATTGCAAAAGGGTGCCACAATTGTTTTGTTTTTGTACCTGCATGTGTTGATTTCAGCCAACAAGCTTGGTTGTACTGTAAAGCTTCCGTATGCCTTTTTAGTTTTTGTATGTCTTCTGGCAAACTATGCTGTATTGAAGCTGCAGCAGAAGAGTCTTAACAGCAAGCAAACTTCAACACATTTTCCCCCATTCGGGAATTATGCACCCCATGATTACACGCTTGAAAAAAAGTGACCTTGGCCAATAATGTCTGTACGTCCGGTGACGAAATGAAGATCATCATACTGTAGAATGTTTCCGTATATCAAGGTGTCTGCGTCCCGTTTAAAAAAAGCTGTTGGCCAACTTTTTATCCTGGCTTCTCGTGTATTTATTCCCCGCTTACAGTTGAAGTTTGCATGTCAGAGACCTGCTCATGTACAAAACCACTTTTGTAAAGATATCTGCCGGTGCGGACGGACGTTTTTTTTTGTTGTTTTCCAGTCGGACCTCATGTACTTTCACATTCCACGGAGGAAGAAATCGGTCCTTATGATCATTCATAATATGGCATGTTTGTGAGAGCGAGTGTGTTTTGAAAGGATATGAAATGATTTTTTTTTTAATTAAGATTGTTTTTTATATATAAGAATGCACCATGTTTCCAGATTTTTTTTAACGCATAATGCCAAGTGATTAAAGTGTTGCTGTAACGGCCTCACATTCGTTCTGCTCCCGTCCCTCGGCCAGTATTGTTGTACAGTTTTCATAAGATTTATTTCTTACTCTCGTCCTTTTTCTTTCATTTCTCCAATCAGATGACATTTGTTCAGTCCTCGAAGGTTTGTGCTGTTAGGAGACGTTTCGTCTTTGTCTGAGGAATTGTAGGAATTCTCTGTTTTGTCTGGAGTCTTGGATGTTTAATGTCTTTGCACTGTCTTGCTTTTAGCCTCGTTTTGCACCTCATGAGAAGGCGACAGAGGATATGTGCACTTAAAAGAAGTCTAGTTGAAGAGTTTTGTTTCCAAACAAAAGCCACTTTTTACACCTGTTATTCTGCACCCAGTGATTGTATGTGAGATACAGTACATGGGTAAGGCAGAAAACATTTTTAGAATAGAATTGGAATACAACTCTTCAATTGGATGCGATGAATGCACTGCCGATGAATGCCATGACCACTCGTTTTACTGTTTGCCGCAGCCTTGCAACATCAAGTCTTATGATTGTTGTCCTTGTCTCTCGGACCACAAATTGTAGCGATCCACACAGATGAGGGCCTCATGTTTGGCCTAAAATCTGTTTTTTGGTTAGTTGAGCTGATCATTCAAAGACCATACCAGTGATTTTGCAAGTTTTAGCCCATTTTATTACAAATCCAATATACTTTACTATTGAGCAAACCGTGCCACTGTGGTTTAAGAGTTTGAATGTATTTCTTAACCGAAAAAGGTATCCATTGATTTCCATTTTTATACGGTATGAAAATCTACTAGAAGCTTAAAAGTATACCCCCATAATGACTAACAAAATATCAACTTGTTTCAAATTGAATTCTTGATGACAAAAAGTCCAAAATGTGAGAACATCTTAATGAATTAAAGTAAACGGGCCGTGTTCAACAAAAGGTGACTATATCAAAACATCAGATTAAAGACACTGGCCGTTTCTCAATCGCGAGGATTTTGGCTTCCAAGCCAATATTTCAAGGATACTACGTCATCGATTGCCGCCGAAGCACTGTTCCAATCTCCAGCATACTTGGAATTCCACTGAGGCCGCGTCCTTGGTTTGGGGGTAATTTCGAGGCTGCACATGGGTAGACTTCGCGTCCTTCAAATCCCCACAATGCTTTGCGCACGGACCAATTTCCCCAAATCTGTGGCGGAAAATGTAAGGCGGGGCCTCTCATATGACGCACACCTGCACACTTGCTAGCCTGTTCCACTCTTAATTTTCCGAATGCCAGGAAGGATTCTTGCCTAGCTTCTGAAGGAAGTGACTCGGAAGACAAGCAAGCATCCTCGCAATTGAGAAACGGCCACTGCCTCATAAACAACTGTCTCTTAACTTGTGAAGGTGAGCATTGTCTCATTGTCTTTGTGCGAGGACTGTTTTTGGGCAAATATTTTTAAAAGCAAGGTTTCAAACTCAAGTTTTTTGAGTTTGTAAAAAAGTGTTTTGATATAGTCTCGCTGTTGTGAAACGTGGCTTCCATTTACTTCCATTCATCAAGAATGTTCTCCTTTTTGTTTCGCCCTCTGGCATGCAAGAATAACAAATGATCTTGAAACAAGATGAGGAATCTGAAAAAGCATTCTGTTCTCTTTACTCAATGCCAAAGACATATTCCAATCCCTCACAAAATGATGTTAACGTTCAATATCCTGCCCTTAAACTACATTACTATCATTCATTAGCATAATGTAAGGTCACTACAGTGTAACTGTCAAAACTCAATGCAGACTTGATGTTCTGGTTGATGGATTCCACAACTCAGAAGTCTACTAATACATGTTCATACCACGAGGAAATGAATGGAAACCAATGGCTGCTTGAATCAAGGGAGAAAACGCAATCAGCCAAAGTGGTCACATGATCTGTAAACACACTGGTATGGTTCTTTAAATTGAATTTGGCCTCACTTGGACCTGCTGTGGTGCTAACAGTCACATGACGACACACCTGTGGATCCATCTGTGCTGACTGCTGCCTTCAATGTCCAACACCCAAAAGAGGACGTCCACTTATTGTGGGAAACTTTCCTTGGACTGAAGGAAGTGAATTTTGGGAATCCCCACTGATCGTCTAAAATAATCCCGGCGAGGACTTTTCTTTTGACCACTATTGGAACCTCTGAAGTGTACATGTGTTTGCTATCTGCCTCCTGAGCAGTTTGTTGGTCACACTGTAGCGCCTCTGTGGTAGAAGCTTCTCCATCTTCTCGTTTACTTTCCCCCCTCGTCTGTAAATCTCCATCGCAGCAGATGTGCTTACTGTAATTATTGTCAACGATTTGGGCAAATAAAACAAAAAAGTGATGTCATACTTGTACAAATGAAAGCTCAATAAATAGAACACTTGAACAAATGTAAATACGTGTCCTTTTCCTTCCTGGGGAACAACAGATTTGCTTCTAATCGTGAGTTGGGTTTTGCCAATAAGGAAGAGTCATGGGAGTGATAAGAAACATTTATTAGAATAAGTACGACAATAAATCAATTTGATGTTTCATGAAGGGTCCGAAGAGGAGTATAAAGTTAAAAGTGCTGTTGTGGTCCAAAAGAGAGTTTTTGGCCTTTCCTGGCCACTAGTGATCCTTCCTCCGAGGCTCTGTGGCTTTACTCAGGTTTCCTGTCTCCTGCTTCAGGACGCTCAGGAGAGAGTGGGAGCTCTCCAAGATCTATAGGTGGAAGAAAGAACATTAAATATACTGTAGATACGTACAGGTAGTGTGCTATATACTGTAAAAGTCATTACGAAGGGGCCCAGGCACTGCTTGTTGTTCTTTAATAAGAGCAGCTCTGTGTTTCTTTGCAGTGATTAGTGGGAGAGCGCCGGGAGTTCAGCGTCAGTAAGTGGGGAGATGAAACTGCTGTACAAGGACAACATCATGGTGCGTCACGGAAAAAATAATTGCGTACTGAAAGACAGCAGTCGGTATAAGCCTGTAAGCAATAAACATGTGAACATCGTGAGGGTTCCTATGCAGGGTGTCCGCGGGGTCTTAAAAAGTATTAAAAGTTGATCAATCAATTTAGCGAAAATTAAGGCTATTAAAAAGTATTAAACGGCATTTTCCAAGGTGTTACATTTAGTAGCTTGTTTTCAATAAGTATATAAATTGTCAAAAGAGGTTGTATTCTACAGTCTGCCTGAATGTAATCATTGCGTAGGTGTGTAGTGTGATTCTGTGTAGTTTATTTATGGCATCCCGTTGGACTTGACGTCATCTGAACAGGACATCGCACGCTCACTGCTTGATCGCCAATGTAACCGGTTAAAACTCAAAGTGGCGATGAGGTCTTAAAATGTATGGAAAGGGTCTTAAAAAAGGTCTTAAAAGGTTTTACATTTGACTTCAGGATTCCTGCATATACCCTGCTATGGAAGCCCCAGATATTATATTGAATTATGTTTAGACTTTAATTGTTTCCCAAATTGGGGGACTCCGATTGACAGTACATTGTATTTGCTAAGGCTAAATTACCAAAATATTCAATTTACAATAAAAGGAAACATGGATAAGCAGAAAATGTCCATATTTGGAAGGCTGAAAACAGCAAGTATGTGGGATTGTTGCTTTAAATTCATTTATTTGATTGTTTATGATTAAATCATCAATGTATCATCATTACAGCTCTAAAACCGACAAGACAAGCTCCACAGATGTGCATTATACTATATGAAAGTATTTATTTAATTTCTGATATAACCAAACGCATACTTTGGGGACTGGTTTTTCTATTAAGTGGGAAAAAAACCTGACGATTCGTCTTTAAAGAACATATTTCCCTTCAACTTCAAATGTGATTTTTTAAAAGACTGAGCTAGAAGAAAAGGTAAAACCCAAGGGAATATCAACCTTTTATAACAATGTTTTGGTCAATTATTACTTATCAATTACACATTTCATGGACACAAGCAGCTAAAAGAACTAATATATTTGTCTATCTTAAAACAAATATATAGATATTGACATAATGATTGTTTCTGTATTTTCAGTGCTGCTCAACAAGAAACATATGTAGATCAGTCACCACGATAGAGTATTTGGTCCCCACACACACCTTGGTGTACGCTGCCTGGGTCTCTGCGATGGTCTGGTCGAAGTTGGCGCGTGCGGCGAGTCTGTGAGCCAGGCTCTCGTTGATTCGGCTCAGCTTCTCTGTGAGGACGCGGATGTCGTGCTGCAGACGGTCCTTCTCCACCTCCTCCTGCGTGATCTGACGGTTCAACTCCTCCCGCTTGGAGCACAGGTCCTCCATACCTGACGGAGACAAAAGAAGGGTTATTACACCAGAGACTCACTGGATCAGCTTAGTGACTATCCTGCATGATTACGAGGTTTTTAATGCTAAATCACACAAAGATTTTTAGAATAATGGTTTATTATATAGTAGCAGGTTCATCAACAATATGGTTTTCTTTTTCTTTTAGAGTTACCTTGAGTGTTTTTCCTTTATTAACCATTTTATATCATTAAGTTAACGGATGTCCCCTGTTTGAATCACGTCAAATTACATATTTTATTGATATCTCATATTATATGCAATGCATAACAATGCAAGATTTGAACCAATCAGAAAGTGTGTAACATGCCTGGTGTTTTGCAACCAGCATCTGACAGGTAGCCCGTTTTACTTCAGCCATGAGTTTTTCTCAACTAACAACACATTTGTTTGTGTTTTTAGGTGGGTGATCGACACATAACACTCTTTTAAAACCTGCTCCACGTCATACAATGATATCTTTAAGCCCTCAGTTGCACTATTGGGCTTGCAAGAGGTTAAAGGTTGATCTCCAGGTCTTGGAGAACATAATCTGGAACGGTTAATCAGATTGGACAGCACTATCCAGTCAAAGAAACTTCAAGAACAGTTCAAGGAGAAGAGATAACTGAACACGTGTGAAACTCCAAAGTGAGTTCTTTGGACCTAAAGTGACATTTACATTTATGTAAAACCTGCTCTGAGATGCATTTCCGAATTCTGCACAACGTTAAAACTGTCACCAGCATCACGTTGTTTAAAAAACGACTAGTGTATATCCCACACATAAGTATTTAGAGTTATTAAAAAGATGAATAAGTCACTTACACTTGACCAGTTCATTGTTGTAGTTCTGCAGAGCCGCAGCTTGTTGGCTCATGTTGGATTTCAGCTGAAGTCCGCCTGACTATAAGCTTCAACCGCGGCTACACACCGCTTATTATGCTAATGTTAAACACTTTATATCTTATTTCTCGTGTCCCAAAGGTTATCATATGTTTCGCTGAGTGAAATCCGCCCGGGTTCACACATGTATCCGCATAGAAAAAGCGCCTATCCGCAGAAAAGCTTTCAAAGGCGGGTTACGAGGCGGGTTTCCCGGACAACTGAAGTAGCCGGCAGTTCTTCTTCTTCCGCTTCTTCCTCATTTCATGATTCTTCTTCGTTCTTCTTCGTCTTATTATATTTAGGTGCTACATGTCTAATGTGCGTCCCTAGCGCCCCCTTCTGACCATTCTGTGAATATTGTCTAGTAATAAAATAATTCCTTTATGTACAGTCTATGGATAGTTATTATACTGTATGTAGGAGCCGTTTGTGTTTGTTGTCGGCGCAGGGTGTATAAATAGGGTCATGGGTTACTGGAAAAAGCACAGGACACAGGAATAGAGAGAGCAAACTGTTCTAAGGAGACAGATGCTCACAGCTACCACAACTCATCAACCTTGGTATCGTACATTTTTGTAACAACTCTCAATAAACAGCAAACCAAACTGCATTCAAGGACTGGAAATTCATATGTTATGTGTCTGCGTAAATATAACTTAGACCCTCACCTGTGTATTAATGGCAACCAGAATATAGGACATTTGAACACTTAAATTGACATTACACTGACTGCGATAAGGTATTACGTCAAGGCACTTGTATTTGTTTGTAATAGAAAATAGTGGAAGAATTACTCTATGTTATCACATATTGAATATGTATCCAAGTCAGGCATTACAATGTCTATTTTTGTAAAAGTACAATACACATTTTTGAAAAATAATTGTATTTTGTATGTTTATTAATGATGCATTAATGTATATCTAACTTAAATGTTGCAGCTGATCGAGGTGAGAGTCATTAATAACTTTCTATAAAGCTACTGCCCATAGCTCATTACTGTGTGGGCTACAGATAATAATTCCTTCTACATGGTCAGAAGCCAGTTATTCTCCCTTTTTCTTTTCAATATGAACATGTATGTGAATTAATATGTCCTAGACTGCATTCAATGTATTTGAGGTTACATTAGAAATGGCAACTACGTGTTTGTTCATAGATGGATATATAATCTCAAATAACTGAGAAAAATGACTCCAATATGTTTACAAATGTATTTTACAAAGATAAATTCATTGCAGTCTTGAAGAACTGAAGAAACAGAGGAAATGAAACAGGCATCAGGCCTAACCACAGGTGAGGAGGGGAAGCCAAACATCTGAAATTGTTTATTCAGTGAAGACTTATTATTATTTAGTGGGAATGCTGTTAACAGCATTCCATCTGTTCTTCTATGCACACAATTCTTTATTCTTATTATTCCACCCGTTATGTTGCCGGTCTTCTCCTCCCGCATTGAACATCGCAGAAACTCTGCTCAAACATCAAAACGTTCAGCTCGGTCGGGAATCGATTGCTATTACTTGTATCATTCATAACTTTCATAATTCCAGAGATACATCCCATAATTCATCACATTTTTAACATGGAAGTCAATGGAGAAATTCTTCAGACTTCAATAAATCTTCATGCGACTTCAACTGCTAACTGCTCATTCATACTTTCACTCAGAAATCTCATTCCAACTTAAAAATGTTACACATCTTTCTGACATTATTCGTGTAACACAACTTTTAAATCTGATTCTTACTTTTAGAGATATTAAACATTGTTCAGACCTTGGTACAGAGGCCTTCTTCAGATTTTAACATTAACTAGAGTGGGTGATGTCACAGCTAGAGTGTAGGAAATCTTGAAATTTGCCTTCATATTTTTTTTTAAACTGCCATAATTCCCAAACCCTACATTCCTGAGACATAATTTTTCATGACAAACGTAGGAAAACATCTCGTAGCTTGAAAAATGACAAATAATTAAGCAACAATTAAACAAAATACCTCTTGAGGGCATGAAGTGACAAAAACGTTCAACATGTCTCCATTAAAGCCCATTGTAATTTCAGGCTGATATTTCCTCACAGCAGCACCTTTAGTTAATCTGCCAAAAAGGCCACATTATTGACCCGAAAGTACACAAAAAGCACACTTCAGATACTCAAGGTCCTTGAGATGCTTCACGCTTTGAAATGTCACCGATATCTGTTACGGTTCTTCAACAAAACGTTCACATGTAAGAGGTTTATCTCTCATTCAGAACAATGGAAACATTTGATCTCTGGACACCTCGTTAGCTCAAATAGAAACACCTGTGTAATGGAACACGATGATGTCATAACTCCAACTGACATGCTCAGGGCAGCAGACTTCAGATAATGCTTAATGGTCCTGCCCTCAACAGCTCTACGTCAATTATAGGGTGTCATCATATGCCGTTTCCATGGAAACGTATCCCTCGCCATAAAAGACGATGTCGCTATACATTAACTCCTATGAAAATGTTCAAAAAGTGCTCAAACTTCACATGTGTGCTAACAGTCCAGCCGTGAAGACATCTACTGGACAGTTTTGAGATTTCTTCAAATGCCGTTGCCATGGCAATACAATGCTCGCCATGAAACACGGTTTTCTCATAACTTCAGAAAAAATGCTCCAAACGGCCCAAAACTTCACAGGTTAGGTAACAATGCAGCCATCAACGCATCTAAGCGTATTATGGCTTGAAGTTAGTTCAAAAGTTTGCAGTTCAAATATTCTGCTGCTTTTCCAAGCCTTTTTACTTTCTTTTCTTTTCTCATCACACAAACAGTGTTCATGGATCATTTCAATCTAAATTCTTCACTTCTTCTTACACATTACATTTCAGCATAGCAATTCAGGGTCAGCTTTTCAGCATAAAGCATTCCCACTAGCAATTTCTTCAGGAATTGCATTCTCTAGTTATTATTATTATACATTATAACATTAACACATATTTGTTCTATTCGAGTGTCATTTATTGTATTAATGGATAATGGGTTGTATCTTTGCCGATATCTGTGTTGATAGGTATAGATTAAGAGCGGTGAATCATCTTAGATACAGGAAGCGCTCAAACGTTTGTGTGAGTTTATCTAATTTAGCAGTGATTCCATGTCAGCCACAGCTTGTTGCAAAAAACATGACTGATAGTGTGTTTAACAAACTTAAACTAGCTTTATTAAATGTCAGGTCTTTGGCAGGAAAAACATTTTTAATCAATGATTTTATCACTGAGCACAATCTCGATTTTATGTTTTTAACAGAAACTTGGATTGAACAAAATAACAGTGCAGCTGTTCTTATCAAATCAACCCCTCCCAACTTTAGTTTTATGAGTCAGGAAAGAATGCATAAGAAAGTGGGTGGAGTTGCTATTCTGTTCAATGATTCCCTTCAATGCAGGAAGACATCTTATGGGAACTTTGATTATTTTTAATATGTGGCCCTTCAGCTGAAATGCTCCTCTCGAGCTCTGTTCCTAAATATCTATAGACCACCCAAATACTGTGCAAGCTTTTTTGATGACTTTACTGAACTGCTGTCTATAGTGTGTATTGACTTTGACCGTCTAGTCATTGTTGGTGATTTTAACATCCATGTTGACAACCCCCAGGACAGAGGGGCAAAATAACTGTTTTGTGTTCTTGATAGCTATGGACTGACTCAGCATGTGACGGAGCCCACGCACAATAAGGGGCACACTCTGGACTTAATTATCTCAAAGGGTGTGAATATCTCTAAGGTTGTGGTGACTGATGTTGCACTCTCTGACCATTCCTGTGTTTTCTTTGAGAGCTCTATTTCTGTTCACAAATTTTTTCAAAAAGAGGTAACCACAAAGCGATATTTAACTGAAAATACTAGGGAAATGTTTACTCAGAATTTTTCTTCCACACTTGCCCCTGCCAACATCTCAGTAAATGAGCTAGTAGATCATTTTAATTAAAAAATAAAAAATGTAATAGATGCCATTGCTCCAACTAAGGTAAAGGAAGTGACTGGGAAGAAAATATCTCCATGGAGAAAGGCCATGACCGTGAAAACAGAAAAAAGAGAATGTCGAAAAGCAGAACGCAGGTGGCGAAAAACAAATGTCCAGGTTCACTTTGACATTTATAAAGAGAGACTTGGCCTTTATAATTTGGAATTGAAAAATGCACGACAATCGTTCTTCTCTGACATCATTACCAAAAACAAAAACAACGCACGTGCCTTGTTTGCTACCGTCGACAGACTAACTAACCCCCCAGTGTCAGTAGCCTCTGAATTTCTATCCACCAGGGCGTGCAATGATTTTGCCTCCTTTTTCACTGACAAAATTCAGAAAATCAGACAAGCAGTCAGTGCCTCTGCATCAGGAACAGCAAATGTGTTGTCTCTGTGTCCACTTAACATCAATTCAAACACCATGACACAATTCCATCAGATTAATGATAAAAACCTAGACATTATACAACTTCTGAAATCCTCCTCCTGCTGCCTTGATATTATTCCAACGGGATTTTTCAAAGAGGTTTTTCCTTGCATGGCCTCAGATCTACTTCATATAGTAAACAAATCTCTTCACTCAGGTATTTTTCCACAGGCCCTGAAAACTGCATTCATTAAACCGCTCTTAAAAAAGAATAATCTAGATGCTTCAGTAATGAACAATTACAGGCCCATATCAAACCTGCCATTTCTAGGTAAAATCATTGAAAAAGTTGTTTTTCAACAGTTGAGTAATTTCTTGCATTTAAATAACTGTTTCGATGTGTTCCAGTCAGGCTTTCGTCCAAACCACAGCACTGAGACTGCTCTTGTAAAGGTCTTTAATGACATCCACTTAAACACAGACAGTGGCAGAACTTAAGTGTTAGTATTATTAGATCTCAGTGCTGCGTTTGACACTGTTGACCACAACATATTACTAGACCGACTGGAGAACTGGGTGGGACTTTCGGAAACAGTTCTAATTGGTTTGAATCCTACTTAAAGGACAGAAACAACTTTGTTTCTATAGGTAAATACACATCTGAGTTGACAAATATGACATGTGGGGTTCCTCAAGGCTCCATCTTGGGGCCTCTTCTCTTTAACATCTACATGCTTCCACTGGCTCAGATAATGAAAAACAACAAAATAAGTTACCATAGCTATGCAGATGACACACACATTTACGTAACAATTTCACCAGGAGACTATGCTCCAATTCAAACACTGAGTAAGTGCATTGAACAAATCAATGACTGGATGTGTCAGAACTTTCTCCAATTAAACAAAGATAAAACTGAGGTAATGGTTTTTGGAGCCAAGGCAGAACGTATAAAAGTTAGCGCTGAGCTTCAGTCTGCAATGTTCAAACAACAGATAAAGCCAGAAATCTAGGTGTAGTCATGGACTCTGACCTGAGTTTCAACAGTCACATTAAAACAGTTACTAAATCAGCCTACTATCACCTAAAGAATATATCTAGGATTAAAAGACTAATGTCACAGTAGGATTTGGAAAAACTTGTCCATGCTTTTATCTTCAGTAGACTCGACTACTGCAATGGTGTCTTCACAGGTCTCACTAAAAAATATATTAGGAAGCTGCAGCTGATTCAGAACGCTGCTGCTCGAGTCCTCACTAACACTAAGAAAGTGGATCACATCACTCCTGTTCTGAAGTCTTTACACTGGCTTCCTGTGTGTCAAAGAATAGATTTCAAAAATACTGCTGCTGGTTTATAAAGCACTGAATGGTTTAGGCCCGAAATACATTTCTGACCTCCTGCTAAATTATGAACCATCCAGATCTCTCAGGTCTTCAGGGACTGGTCAGCTTTCTGTCCCCAGAGTCAGAACTAAACATGGAGAAGCAGCGTTCAGTTATTATGCTCCAAATATCTGGAACAAACTCCCAGAAACCTGCAGGTCCGCTGCAACTCTGACTACTTTTAAATCCAGGCTGAAGACTTTTCTTTTTGTCGCTGCTTTTAATTGAACTATTCATATCTTAGACTGCACTGTAACTTTTATCACTGTAACTTTTATGCATATATTTTTTTATTTCAATGTTTATCCATGTATTTTTTATTTTAATGTTTATTTTATTAGCTTTTCTTTTGAATGACTGATTTTAAATGCCATTTTCTTAATGTCTTTCATTTTTTGTAAAGCACTTTGTATTGCCTTGTGTTGAAAGGTGCTATATAAATAAACTTGCCTTGCCTTGCCTTACCTTGAAGATGATTATGGCACCTTTATGTTTTTGATTTCAGCATGTTTCAATACTATGTGTTGTTATCATGACATATGAATATATTCTGGATAATATAGTCTTACTATTAAAACAAGAATATGACTGACAGTCGTATCACCAGGTGGTATAACACCGTCTGTAAATTCAATATGTGTGACGTCATCGCGAGTGGGCGGAGTTAACGTCCAGGCACCATGGCTTCGGTTGGACCCGAGGTGAGTGTGTGAGCGTTACTCTAAGCTTGTTTTACTTTTACACTGTATCCATGGCTTTGGAAAATGTGTTGCTCTCCGGGAACGAAAATCCCGCTTGTAAACAGAGCGAATTGTCGGTGCAGAGGTGTCGTTTTGTCGTGAATTGGCCGCTGGCAGCCCGCAGTCTCTTGCTTTTGTGCTGGACCGGAGGGCAACTGAATGAGCAGGAAGATGCTGAACCCGGGAACATGAATACTCCAAGTAGGCGCGTTGTTAGCTTTGTGTCGGGGTTTATTTATACATGTTCCAGCCTCAAGTCAGTGTCCTGCTTCTGTCCAGTTTTAGCGGTTCAAAATCAAACTGAAAATGTATATGCAAGCGTATTTAGCCGACGTTATTCACGGCTTTAGCTGTATCGTCTGTCACCGGCTCACTTGATGCTAATGTGTACACTGATGTTTAGCTAGCTGCTAGCCGCCGTGCTAGTTAGCAGACAGTGCACACTTTCTCAAATCCACACAAACACTGATAATTGGGTTTAACATGTTTACTTAAACGATAGCGAGTAGTCTCTGTGTAGTTTGTAAACAATATGTCTAAATGATCGGCTGATAATGTTAACCCCCGTTATGCTTTGCAGTCTGTTAGCTACATGATAATTGATGCAGTCAAATGAACCATGGCAGTGCTGCCTCCCAATGTAAACATATGGCGCCAGCTTTTGAACCTGCTATGAGGCTTTTTGCATTATTATTTTTCCACATTACACTTTTATAAGAAACTACTCTTATGGTTGCCTTTGTTAGCTAGGTCCTGGTTTACAGTCGGCATAACGCAGTCTAGGGCTGGCTGTAACAGGTTGAATTGTTGTTTGTATGAAGGTTTTATCAGTAAAGATCAACTAATTTACTTGTTACATAAGCACAGAAATGTATCACTGCTACAGTCTTTGTTTCTTTATCCTTTTTCGAGAGATAAGATACGGTTTCGTTCAGCAGAGGTCGCTCGAGCAACATTCAGATTCAGGTGTGGGACACTGAGTTATGCAGCCACTTCCGTTTGCACTCATAACTAAGTGTTGTGTGATCTGTTTATGCATTTGACACGTAGATCAATGGGTGGCCTGTCGTAAAGGTTAGTTCCTCAAATTATCATAACAGTTCTCCAGGTATCTTTGGTTTTATCTGGCCCTGTTTTATGTTATCTTTTGATATATGTAGATATATGTCTGTTATATATTCTGCCTCCTTCCAAATACAATAGAGGAGGGCTGCACAATTAATTGAAATTGTATAACATCACAATATTGACAAGTGCAATATCCAAAGGGCAGGAAGCATAGGCTAAATATGTTAACATACCTACTTAAACAGGTAGTGTAGGGCTGTAGAGATGTCTGGGCCTTTGAATATTATTTTACAGATTTAACTGGTACAGATACTCCTAAAAAAGTATAAAATGAATGTATATGTGTTTCAATTATGATACAAATTATATTTGACAAGTGATCAATCCCTCCTTTTTCGTGGATCATATTGCAATTGCAATACAAGTCTAAACAATCACAATTAGTTATATTTGTTTACAAATAATGCAACCCGATATAAGGGGAAAATTGATTTAGACTAAAGCTTAGAACTAACAGGTTTTTATAAACCTTGAAATCACCTCACCATTGTTTTCACTGGAACTACTTTCTCCAAAAAAATAGTCCCAATGAAATCCGTTGTCATTAAAGTGGCAGGATCCTACTTCATTAATTGATCAATTAATAGATACATGTATTGACTGAATATTATTGCCCACAATGTTAATAACCAAGTTATTTATTGAGAAAACATGTAAAGTTTTAGTTTTTGAAATGCACAATTAAATGACTTATTGTTTGATTGAAAACGTTTCCATAGTTTATAAGACAAAGCAAATAACTGTTATGTGCAGCCCTTATGGCTAGGTCTATGCCTATAACCCAGTGGTTCTCAAAGTGGGGGGTGCAGAGGCATGTCAGGGGAGGCGTGAGAGACCAGGAGGGAAAATGGTTATAAAAAAAAATAATTTGAAAAATAATTGATTCGAAATAATATGATGCATTACAGCACTGTTACGTCTGGGTCTCTGTGTTTCATTAAAGCTCGACTCTGTGTGTGGAACGAGCCATTTTGTGTGCGCGAGAGAGAGAGAGCACCGGTACTGGAGATCGTTGTTGTTAGCTTCTGGTGCTAGCGAGCTACGCTAACGGATATAAGGAGTTTTTTCAACAACAAAATGGAGGAGAGTCCTCTCCTGGCAGACTGAGAGGCTCAGTGAACAAAGGACTCTCTGAGTGTTTAGATAGTTAACTTTAGTCTCTAAGTTATCTCAGTGGGTCTCAAATGTTTTGGTCACGATTATTGTAAACAATTATTTCCGAGGCACACATTTATATGATCATTATAGTTATACAAAAATAAGAGAATAAATGAAAAACAGGTATGAAATACTATATGATAGTAAAAAAAGAATAAAGTTTAAAAGGGTGATTTGTAAAATATCCATAAAGAAAAAGTAAATCTGTTAACAGATCTGTTTCATCTGGGTGTTGAGAGAGGTATCCATAGATCTCTTCATTTTGCTCTCAAAGTGCACCAGATTAATGCTTTTAACTTTAATATTTAAAAATCTTCCTGGGGGAGCTTGCCCCCGGACCCCCCTATGTGAGGTCCACACACCACCTGTAAAAATATCACTTTACCCCTGCTTACACCTATATGCCGTGAGCTGATTATCGAGCCTTCATTGTAACAGTCACTGTGTATTTGCGTGAGGAGTGTTGCAGTAGAAAATTCCACTGTAGCGCCCGGTACATTAATGGGAAACCCTAAATGAAATGTCAAGCTACCCCATGGCACCCCCAAAATACATCTCTGGCGCCGCCACTGAGCCTGACTATTTTGTGTTGGGGGGGCCTGACTTTTTTTTTCTCCAAAGGGGGGCCTGACAGAAAAAGTTTGAGAACCACTGCTATAACCCAATATAAACCCTCATCTTGGAGCGTCACTTTATTGCTTCCCCTCACACTCAATTTTCTTTTTTTTATATTTGGTGCAGAAGATTGTGTCAAAGCCTGCTCTTTATTTCAATCAGCCTCTACTAAAGTTGAAATAAGGGCAAGCCATTTCATACACACTGAATTTACATTGCCACTTGTCATTTGCAATACCACAAATGACCATATTTTAACTAAAAAAGGTTTGCATTTCAGCTTTGAGGTAAGGCATTGTTATCTGCACAACATCGAGCAGGTGTTTCTGATTTCCTGGTCCCTCAGTGTTCAGGAACTCGGAAAGAAAACACAGCAGGAAAAAAGCTTGGTCGAATGTGCTTTTGGCTCCTTTATAATGATGTGTATTGGGAAAAATGTGGTGACATGATACTCATCCACATACAGGGGTTAACATTCTAGATATTGCTATTCTGTAAGCAAGGCAATCTTTTCGCATTTTAAGAAGGACATTAAGTCTGATCTTGATGTATTGGTCATTACAGTCTCAGCTGAAATAAATGTCCCCTTGTGTCTCCGAAGAATTGTATGGGCATTATGGTGCTGGCTGACAAATGACTATGTATGTAATAAACAAAGAACAATCACACACATGTTCTGATCAACGCTTAGAAGAGGTATGTAGGTGACCACTTAATTAAGAGACGTGCATCAGGTACAAGTGATACAATGCGTTTTGTTTGGTCACAAGAGGTAAAGGGGCACATTCAATTCACTTGGGAATCACAATTATTATCTTCCATGACTCTAAATCAATTTGCAAAAATCAATACATCATATTTAAGGTTATAGTTTAACATTTCAGTTTTGAGAAAAAAAAGCTATAAGCCTTTAGATTGTTATGTGCGTTGGACTTTTGCGCGTTGCCCGAAGAAAAGTCATGGGATGACCGAAAACTATTGTTTTAGTTTCGTTATTAGTAGTGGTGCACGATAATTATCGGCCCGATATTAGGTATTATGACGTCATCCCGATAAACCCGATAATAGTATTAATAGCCCCGATAATATACAATATATTTTTTGGGTAAAAAAGAAAAACATACTGCGGTGTGGGTGGATTGGGATGAGGGGCGCTTGTTTTTCACTCGGCTCCTCCCCGTTTTGCCAGTACTGTGGTATTAGTGGTTAGGAAGAGGGGAGTTCTTCTAACTATCTAACTTTGAAATAGTCCCATACCACCGACGACATGTTTGTTTACTGTCCTGGCTTCACGGCCGCACACCATTTACGTCACAGCCAGGCACGAGTTAGGGAGCGCTGGGATTTGTGAAGAACTCCCCTCTTCCTAAACCACTAATACCACAGTACTCTGGCAAAACGGGAGGAGCCGAGTGGAAAAACAAGCGCCCCTCATCCCAATCCACCCACACCGCAGTATGTTTTTTCTTTTTTTTTACTCAAAAAATATATTGTAATATTATCGGGGCTATTAATACTGGTATCGGGTTTATCGGGATGACGTCATAATACCTAATATCGGACCGATAATTATCGGGCATCCCTAGTTTAAAGACATTCAATATTTCTCTACCAAATTCTATTGCAATCCATCCAATAGTTGTCAAGATATTTCACTCCAGGTGAAAAAGGTTAACCTCATCCTTAACCAAATGAGTTGGCTTTATCCTCCGTGAAACATGAGCGACTTTGTCATGGAAATCAATCCATTAGTTTAGATGTTTCAGTGTGGACCAACAGCTAGTTTAACATTGCCTTTCCTAAGAACTTGTGCAAGGTTGTTGACAAGGTTGTTGACAAGGTTGTTGGCAAGGTTGTTGGCAAGGCCTCGCATTAGTCATCAGTTTTCATTATCTTAACCTTTCTCTTCATTGGTTAAGTTTAAACTGTTCATGAAGCTTATCTTTGTTACAATGCGTAAACATTGAAGCTAAAATAAGCACAATGCTGTAGGCTCCATGACTTTCACATGTAGTTATTGCGAGCTCCAGGGTTGTATTGTGTTTAAGTTAAGGCTTTATCGTGTCCGTCAGCAATAAGCTGTTGTTTTCTTTGCTTATAGGTGGCCTCCTTTTGTGTGTTGCGTAGTTCATAGTCTGTTCACTGGCTCCTTACCCTCTCTTTTATTCACAGTATCTGATTTCTTTATTGCAACTCTGCCATGGTTGGAGGGAAGAACTTATTTCCCTTATTTTTGTCCATTGATCCCTGAAAGTAGATAAACCTGAGCCTGTCTGCCAGGTCAAGATTGTTTCAATCGGCCAACATCTGCATTCCAGCGTGGCTGTAACATCCCCCGAGAAGGAAGCACACCCCGCAAAAATACTATTCTATTTATCCATGAATTGTTATAAAAGGCCCTCGTTGTGTTGGAGAACTTGCTGCTTCTTCTCTTGTCATTGGATGTTGTGCTGTTAGACAGACAAAGATTCATTTTGGAACTTATTTCAGGATTTTCCTCAGTCGGTTACTTCATTCCTGTGAATTCAATATCTTTTTCATGGCATGGCGGCGTGGGGTTTTGCTGCTTCACTGGCCCGAGTCTCAGAGGAAACAAAAGACTCTCCTGTTGAGGGCTTCATATGTGGCCTGATGTCCGCGATTGAGAATGTTTGGCTTCATCAAGTTCCTCACTGACATCCGGTTTGCTTCTCGGGCCTTTACTCTTATTACCTCCTCCATTTCCCCCCTCCTTCTTCTGTTGGAGCTCCTCAAGAGCCTATGCATACAAACACACACTCTTAAAAGCCCTTTTCCTCTCAAAAACTCATTGACTAAAATATATGTCCATTGTTCGCAAAGCAAATGGTAAAATGATTCACCAGATGAAAACACTAGCGTTGTCTTTCAACATGTCTCCAGTGTAATTGATATTATTTGGATAGTATGGCGTGTCCCTCCTAGTGGGATTTCTTCAGTTCTCTAGTTGAGAGAAATGGAGTGGCGTTACAGTGAAAGCTGACTGAGCATGCTCTGTGGAGACCCTCTGAAGAGGAGGACCGACAGAGGGAGCCACCAGGTCACATGACCGGCGAAGTGAATGTGCATGCGGGGAAAGAAAAAGGAAAAGACGAGCAATCTGTTCGACACATTGCCGCTCTCCCCCTTTCCCCCTCTCTCTCTCGCACGCACGCACTCTCCCTCACCCACTCCCTCTCTCTGACGCCTTCTTCTTCTCAATGGAGGCTATGAGAAGAGAGCAGGTATGATGCTTCCTCAAGGCACTAGGGAAATACATGATAGCTTGTTGTTACACTTCACCCTCTGTTAGCTTTGAGTAATGTAAGGAGGGCATGGTCTTGTTTCTCAGCTCCATTTAGCCCTTTTTTTTAAACAAAAGTTACAGTTTTGTTCAGGTCTCTCTGCCTTCACCTTGAGATGCTTCTCTAAATAGTTGCAGCGTCTTTATCAGCAACTGATTGCTCTTGATTCTTGAAGTCCAGGACTTAAATCTCGAGGAGCTGTGTTTTGGTGTCGGTGCTGCTGGATCAAAGAGATTTCAGCGTGTCTCGATGGATCTTGTTGTTTGAGAAAGCTCCTCATGTAATAGCACAGCTGTATTCAGAGCAGTCACAGCATGGCTGATGTAACTTGATTCATTACAATGAACGTCAGAAGAACTTGACTCTGTCCTGAGAGTTGATTTAGAAAAATCTTCCTTGTTGTCGTACCATTTCTTTGATCCCCCATGGTCAGTATATAATGAGGTCCCAGGGGCCTGGATGTGTAGTGCATCTTATGCTGGAATATACTGGAACATAAAAGCTGCAGTGCCTGCTCACCAAGCCAAGGGATGCATGTTAGGCTGCAGTGTGAGCCTCAATGTTTACCGGCTTCAATCTTCTGAGCAGCTTTCTGTCGGAGGACTTTGCATCTGTTGGATCAGTTTTTACAAGTATTCCTGGAGTTGATTCAAGATTTCATGCAGAATTGACTCAAAGAGACAGATTTTAGGGCTTGTTTGCCTTTATTGAGAAAGTGGACATTAAAGGAGGGAAAGGAAATGGCAGACTGGGATCATTGCGGTCAGATCAAAATGCATTGGCACCTTTGGGTAAAGAATATGCAAAACCAATATTTTTTTCAGCCACATTTCTTTAGAACAATAGTCAGAAATGTTTCAGGTGGTACAAAACAGACTGCAAGATGGTTAAGGAGATACAAAAGATAAAGAAACCATGTCTGCCTGCCTCCCGTCTGTTTTTTTTCTTGTAAGACCACCTCTTCAGGCCTCTCTGAATGATTTAAAAAAGACTATTTGAGAAGAGGAGAATCCCTCTTTTGTCAATACCTGGCATCCAAAGACAATGCTGCATTTTAAGAGCTCATATGACAACATGTGGCCATCACTGCTTCAGGTTGGCTGTGTGAAATGCAGTTGTGTACCTTTCTTTTATCATTGCATCTCATTTGGGTGTTGCCGCCTTGTGGTGTCTTTGGCAGTGAAACAGCCGGTTGTGTAATGTGCTTGTGTTTAGGTGGCCCTGACTGGTTTTCAGGTCTCCTCCAGTAGAGTCAAGGATCAGTGCAAACATCCAGGCCTCATACCCAGTATGCTATGTATGTTTATAGCATTAGATATATTATCTATCAAGAGCTGAGTAATTACTAAGCTTGTGTGTTTAAAAAAATACACAAGGTCCAATCTGGAGAGCAAACTCTCAACCATTGGTCCTTTTTATTTTTGCAGCTTTTTTAACATATTTCTATTTTTTAATATGTTCTAAGGTTTGTCACCTGGTCTTAAAGCACTGGCTTCACATTTAGAGCTTCATTCAGCAGCTTCCTGTATCCACGTGCCTCCAGACCCTTACATTCCCCATCTAGTGGAAAAAAGCTGCAATGGCCGCGTTGTGTCAGTAAACAATCTGGTTTGCGAAATGGCGGAGAGATCTGCAGACAGGCTTCTCTGTCTACCCTCCCCCCTCTCCTTTCTGTTTCCACTGTGTAAGTTCCACTTTCCACCACTAGGGGGAGGGATGAGGCTGGTGTGGGTTTCTTTTTGTGAGTGGCTCTCCTTAATCCATGGAAAACAGGAACTTAAGGATTCACCTTCTCACATTCACCCTGACATGTGCTCACTAGATTCCTTCAGATCATGTCCCAGACTAGATGTTCTTTGGGGGACACCCTCAGATATTGTGCTCCTGGCCTGACGAGGTGCATGATCGTGTTTGGGAGTGATTTGGGAAGTCTGTCCTGATGGCCCATTCAGTCGGGCTTGGGGTCTCTCTTGTCTGCAGGTTCCAGGACACACTGTGTTAAAGCTGAGGATTTGACTGAGGGGGAACTGACTGTGCTCTCTGTCTGCTGCAGGCCTTGTGATTGCCTTACTTTGGGGAGAATATGTTTTCTCTGCTTTCTTGTGACAATCAGATTCTGCCCTTACTAGTCACTAGATATGACCCCAGCAGCCCCTAGCAGAGTATGTCTACATGTAGTCTGTTTGGTATGAGCCTCACATAGCGTAGAGGAGACTGTAAACTACCCTGCTCTGTTCTAAATGAATGCTTCTCAAAATGACCTAGCCCCTTTGATATCGCCCGAGTGTGAAGACAAACAGGGTGGCTTTGACAAGTTACACCCAAAGAGGCAGAGTGTAGATTCATGATGGTTTCCTCTGAGGCCTCTTTTGTGTCCTCTGGGCCCATTTATCCCAGAGTGAGCAGGAGGTGGACGCTCAGCTCAGGAGGAGTAGAGAGTGTAGTGCTTCCTGGTGCTGCCTCTTCAACGGCTTCCTCCCGCGAGTTGTAAAACACGGTCTGTGGGCGGCTGAGATTAACTTTTGATGCCTCGGCTGTGCATCTGCTGGCTGGCTGTGGCACAGAAAGAGAGAAGAAGAGCTGCATTCTCTTGACTTCTCTATAGTCTTTGATTCGGACGTCACTGAAAAGAGGACTTTACTCTGAATTCATTGTATAAACGGGATCGTTTTTTCAGGTGCTCATGCTTGGAGTTTTGCTTTACAGATCAGTCATTGGGTAATCATTTAGTTTCTCATTGGATTTAAAATAAATGGGGCTAAACATTCTGCTGCTTTTCTAACCAAATTATACAATTTAGGGCTTTGACAGTTATTTGTCTGACTGTCTACTGTGTTTTCAAATAGTCAATTTATCATTCAATCAATTCCTTTGAATGATTATAAAACAGATAATTGTTACAGAGATGGTTTGGTGTTTTTACTCGGTATAACGCCATAAAACAAATAATCAATAACAGCCATTTCCCCCGATTTACTGTCCATCACATTTTAAAGGAAATATTTCTGCTCTTATATCATAAATGTAACATCTTGGGTTTTGAACTGTTGGGCAGATGTTTTAAAGAGGGTGGCCCTGGGCTTTGGGAACTTGTGATGGGACTTTTTGACAGTTTTTAGACCTACCGGTTATTTGCTAAAGATATTGACTGATATTAAGATAAAATAATATTGCTTTGGAGTCCTTTATTTGATTTCCCTTCTTCTTTTCCCTGTAGCCCGCTGGTCTAGCCAAGGGCAGCCTGGAGAAGGGTGCATCCTCAAAGAAAGAGGAACTCGAAGCAGCGAGCAACGGAGAGGAGAAACCAGGTATTATTCAAATGAAACCTGATGGCACTTAATTTATGAAAATGATATGTTTACATTGTAATTTTCATCTTTCTGCTGTTTTCTCCTATAGATAGAGAGAAAGAAGTAGCAGCCAGACTGGCTTCTTCTTCCCCTCCAGCAGAGACCATGCTAAACGGGACTGAATGTTGACGACACGAGGCACAAGAGCCCCGACTCACGGCTCTGCATTCAACAACAAGACTTTACCGCTGGTGAATGAAAACGGCACGTTAGACATGGAGCCACCGCACGCTTCTGTTACCGGAAGCAACGGATTCATTCTCACAAAGCAGCAGCAGGAAGGTGTCTCTTCAGCGACGCTGGGTTCGGGAGTTTCCCCCCACAGGACTAACTGGCTGCCTTCGGGCTCGCCGACAGGGGGAAACCGGGCCAAATCTCCCCCGGCCTCGGACTCTGGGTGCACACAGACTTCAGGGGCACTAAGGACTGATCCCAGTACAGGGACTACGTCAGGACCGGAGACACCAGACACTAAAAATGACACAGCCTCCTTTCCGGCCCCGGCTCCCGTCACCATACACAGAGCGCGCAAGACCATGTCCAGACCGGCTGTCAGCCCGGCTCAAAAGGTAAACCATGGGATAAGCAGCACACTAGTCTCTCCTCTCTTTGTGTCTTTACTTAGGGTGCTACTGTAGACATTTGACTCAATTTGGATTCCGTTGATGACGGTTTGATTGGTCCAAAAGGACACAATATGTCTCACAATATGTTGCAATGTCACAATTCACATGAAACACAACTGAAGTATTTAATTTACCAGAACTACTTACTGAGCTGTGCTTGCAGGAGGACCTTTTACAAATGTAACATGCAATGGTGAGTGTTCCTCGCAGCAGGAAATAAATCTAAGTGAAAAGATGAATAGAATCTTTCCCTTTTTTAAAAATCAACTAATCAGGGTATTTTGCGCTGTCGATTGGTCCGAAGCAAACAAAACATTGAGTGCTCCCAGTAACAAACAGGCTTAAAGTCAATCCCTCGGTAACACGGTGATCATGCATGCTTTTGTTTTGTTTGGTTCTTCCTTCAGCTTCTTAACAGGGAATTAAGAGAAGCTCAGACTGCCAAAATGGAGACTGAAGTTTCACCTGCTGCTCAGAAACCCCCTGTGCAGAACCATCTACCTCAGAGTCCACCGGATACACCAGCTTCAGCACAAACTGCTTCGTCAGCTTCACCAGCGCCTCCTGCATCACCTCCAGCTCCTTCTGATCCTTCGGCACCTGGAGATTCTCCGGCTCCTGAAGCTCCCGCTCCACCTGCTGCTCCTGCGGCTCGTCCAGCTCCAGTCAAACTCCACCTAGGTCAGACAGACGGCAACAACACATGACAATAACTCTACCCGGTGAGCTATTGAGCGGCCCATCTACCGACAGTTGTGCTGTAAATGTGTCTGTGTGTTCTCTCGGTGCTGTAGGCCCTTTCTCAGGAGGCTTGTCGTCCCGTAAGAAGAAGCGGAGGATGGGAATGTACAGTCTGGTTCCCAAGAAGAAAACCAAAGTGCTTAAGCAGAGAACTATGCTGGAAATGTTTAAGGGAATGGAACAGTCTGCAAAAAGCCTGCAGGTATGTGCTCCTGGCATTCATCACAAACAACAACACAATATTTATTTAGTTTAATTGATGACCTTATTTAAACACTGACATCAGTTTGACAAACAAATAAAAATCCCTTCATGTGACAAGTTTAAACGTTTTTCTTTCTTTCATACTCGCCTTATTTTTAAGCACATTCTACTATTGCAGGCAGAATTTGCCGATTTTAGGTTTTAGATTCATGAATTTTTGGTTCGGTCTTATAAAATCTCATATGATATTAAAAGACGTCAATGCCAGTTTCTCTAAAATCCAAGGTGATGTCTTTAAGTGTCTTGTTTTGTCAGACCAAAGCCCAAAGATATTTATTTTAATAATATATAAAATGGAGTAAAATGGGAAGTATTATGATGGACTAAGTGTCATTAAGATGTTTCCCGGTACTAGTGTCAATAACTGAGATTTGAGATCTGTCATAGCGTAATCCAAGAAAGCCCAAACATTACAAAATAAATGTGTTATTCCTAAAAACCTTAAAGTAAAGACAAGCGGCTGTACAGAAACTGTTACTAAAAACACTCTTCATTATTTTAATATTCTGACCAAACCAGATGTTTTATAACAGTATATTTGACAGCATATTTTGTTATGATCATCATGTAGCCCTCTCCTGTCTCACAGAGTAAAGTTATACCTAACATAAACGGGGAGAAGGTGGAAAATGCATCTGAGGAGGAAGAGTCCGAGGAGGTGGAGTCTGAGGAAGAGGAGCGGCAGCAGCCAGCAGGAGAAGCTGCCGGTGCGGCCCAGGAGGAAACATCCGAACCCTCTCAGGTCGGAACAGAAACACGTCTTTTATCCTGACATTACATTATGGTCATTACTACTTTATCAAAGTGCATCATTTATAAAAGAAAACGTAGTCATTGTTTTCAGAAAGTAGAATCTAAAAGGCAGTAAACAACTGTATTTGGGATATATGTGATTAAAGGTAGGGTAGGTAAGAATGGAGAAACCAGCTCAAGTGCGCTAGAATTTGAAACTACGCAGCCGAAAAAAAATCTGCCCCTTCCTTCAGACTTCCTTACAGAGCCCCTCCTCCAACACACACGAACGCGCACATGACCAATGAGGGCACGAGATAAGTTTGTGCCATCCAGTTATTTTAGCCGGGCCGGCTCAGATGATTGGTTGTGCTTTTTACAGCGCCACGGCTTCCATAGATGAATTTTTTTAATGTATTTATTGTCAAAGCATTTCATGTATTCATTGCTATCGGGATGTTAAGAGCATTCCATGGAATATAACAAGTGTTTCTGAAGTGAATTACCTACCCCACCTTTAAGTGAGGTCTTAAAAATGATCAGTGTTGCTGGAATACATTAAAAAAACGTACAGGTGCAAGGATTCAGTCAGTTGAACAGTTCTGTTGAACCAAATGTATGAGTAATCTATTAGAGTGAAAGCCTGTTTGCATACGCTCCGTGTTAACATGTAATGAACTCTGTTTTGTGTTTGTGGTGAAGGGGGGAGATGAGCAGGAGTTTGAAGAGTCTGCAGAAGGAGAGGGAGAGGAGGAGGGCACAGAGTCAGACCTGGTAAGATCCAACATCATTGGGTGGTAAAGTGATGACGTAGTTTTGTAGGCTGACCTGGAAGTTAGCATCAAGGCTGCCTTGACAAAGCTAATGGGATTTCAGAATCTAGCAGAAAATTAGATATCCGGCAATAACGCACATTTATTGTAACTTGTGTTTTATTCATCAAGAAAATCTCCAAATGTTCTCACCACGTTTACAACAGTTCAGAATCAGAATACCTTTATTAGTCCCACGGAGGGGGAATGTGCGTAGTTACAGCAGGAAAAAGAGCCACAGACAGCTTAATGTTACATATTTTAAATATGTGACATGCATTAAAAAAAATTACTAAGTTATGATATAATTAGGGCCGGGACTTTAACGCGTTAATTAAGATGAATTAATTACACAAAAATTAACGCATTTTAATCGCACTTATTTTTGAACCGCGGAACGTTTCTCACTGGATGAGTTTCAGGCGTACCGATTATACTGGAGCACCAACTAACGTTCATGACTTCAGACAACAACAAACCACAGTGAACAACAGTGGGAAATGTTGTTTTAAAAAACGGACGGATGGAAGCGTCGATAAGAGCACGGTTGTGTGCAAATTATGCAAAAAGAAATTCGCATATCACCGCAGCACATCAAGCCTCAAGTATCACCTCAATGCAAAAACATATAGCAGCTAGCGTGGACTCTTTTATCACGTTCACACCAAAAAGAGCCGGTACTAAAATTAGTTCATGAGAACCTTTTTACCCCCACGAAAGTCCCTGCTAGAGAGCAGAGAGCTGCTAGAGAGCAGGGACTTTCGTACGGCTCTCTTGTGAGAAAAGAGCTATATTTCTGATTGGCTGGGCGGATTGCAAACCACGCCCCGTAAAACTCCCAAAAAGTTTTGTGAAGCCGCCATTTTATTATCCTCGCATTAGCATTATTAGCATTAGCATTATTAGCATTAGCCCAGCGCAGAAACGCAGAGAGACTAACTTATGGCAACACAAAATAAAACATGGGAGCGGTGGAGATGAGGAGGTGTCGGCGTTCTGGCGATTTACTCGGAAGGCTTCAGTAGAAGCTGCTGGGACTCCCAGCAGCTTCTACTGAAGCCAGTCCCCAACTCCGGGGACTTTGGGCGGCAGTATACGACGTGAAGTGGTTTGCGGCCTGCCAGTAAACCCAAAGCAGAAGAAGAAGAAGAAGTGACGTCAGCGGCTTCATTTGCCTAATCCACCCCCAGGTTCAAAGAGTTCTCATGAACCTTTGTGGGAAAAGTACTGCGGTGTGAATGCGCCTAATGGTATACTAAAATCCATGTGAAAAAAATTGCTTCTCACTGTTCTCAGGTCAAATATGTATATATGATTAAAAATGCGATTAATTTCGATTAATTAATTACAAAGCCTCTAATTAATTAGATTAATTTTTTTAATCGAGTCCCGGCCCTAGATATAATAAAAAGTTACATAATTTAAAAAAGAATACACATCCTGTAACAGTTCTTAGGATTTAGCAGCCAGGTATATATTACACAGTTATTAATGACATCTCTATATATTGCACATCTAGCCCATATTGCACATAGTTTGTTGGTATTTAGCAGCAAGGGGTGTGTGTGTGGGGGGGGGTCAACTAGGGGCTGTGCTGGTTGTATAGTCTGACCGCTGCAGGAAGGAAAGACCTGCGGTATCTCTCCGTGAGACAGTGGGGGTGCAACAGTTAAAGCGTTAATGCAATCCCCAGAAGTAAAAAGCTACATTATGGTCGTATAACTGCGCCACCAGCTCTGAGACAAGTTCAAAAAACGTTCACTTCGAGATGAGACAACTGGAAGTTCTAAAATGCTGACCCATTTGTGGGTTGAGGTCTCGTTCCTGCTTCACTCAATGACTCAACCTTCTTCTCACATCAACACTTGTATAGTGGTGCAGAAGTGAAAACTCACATTAGAGTCAGCATTTTGCACCTTAGGTTCTGTTGTCTTGAAGTTGTTTTGGTTAAATGCCTGAAATATGACATAAAATAAAGGGAAAAGGCTTTTGTTTCATGCAATTATGCGCGGAAATCAAATATAGTTTAAAGCGTAGTGGTAGTGACGTAAATTCCCACCACTGTTGTATGTTTTGTCTACATTATTAGCTTATTACTTTTGCATTTACGCTTCAAAAATCATTAAAGTGATGTTCATTTGTGAAGATTATCTTGCTGATAAATTCCATTATAATCTGCATGAGGACACTAATGTGTTAATATCTGGGCTGGCATACAACAATCGGTCATCCTTGAAGCACTCTGTTACAGAAGACAACATGTTTTTGTCTATTTCAGAGCACAGAGTCCAGTCTGAAGAAGAAACTGAAAAATAAGTTAAAGCGAGACGCTGCGTGGCTCAGGCCGGCCAGGAAACGGAAGAGGCGGATAAAGGCCAAAGGTGATCGCCTGTCACACTCTCACCTGTACACGGTCATACATTCAGTCACCTGTACTGCATAATGTTGAGCGAACACACACACACACACACACACACACACACACACACACACACACACACACACACACACACACACACACACACACACACACACACACCACACACACACACACACACACACACACACACACACACACACACACACACACAAAACACCAGCAGCAGACCCTACCAATGTGTATGTTTTAGTAGTGAGGAGTCAGCAGTGATAGCAGCACAATTTTCCAAAACATCAACTAATCACGATATTACGATTTGATATTGCAACTGTGATTTGATTCGCTATAGTAGATTTAGATTTTACATTATTATTGAAAAGTTTATTGTAAAATAATGGTGAGGATCTTTAGTAGACAATATTTTAGTTTATGTAGAACACTGTTTGTAGCATGGGACTTCTCTCCAGCACCACAATACTTTACATAGAAAGATGTTCCACATATTTTACCTTTACCAACTATTGTGGTTACTGCAATTTGGATGTGGTACTACTGTTGATACAATTCAATTGATTGTGCCACCCTGTGGATGAATATGAGAGAATTACAACAGGTCCTTGAACATTAGCATAAACAATATTAGACTTATGGACCTAGTTGAATGTGAAATTAGCTGCAGAGAGAGATCACACGCACGCACGCACCAGCTCAAGATCTCCAAGGCTTAGGTTATAACAATAGAAGTAAAAATAGAATCGATACAAAAGCACGTTTGGCTTTGTTGCTTAAGACGGCATGAACGTGATCGTAAACATTGAAGCATTTTCTTACTGATCTCTGTGAATCCCTCAGAAATGGAGGCGGTGGATCAGCTCCAAGCCTCCGCTCCGGCTCAGACTGACGATGTGAAGGAGTGCACTCAGATCTCCTCATCCGACTCCCTCCCCCTCCAGCAGCCCCGAGAGGCAGCGGCTCCTGCTCAGAACAAAGGTGAGCTCAGAAGAAACTAGAAAATGCATTTCTTGCAGAAAATGCGTGCGAATGCTGTGAACTGTGAACATTTATGGCTGAAGTTAGCTGAAAATGCAGAAAAAGCTTAATATTTAAAAGAAAAGGTTTAAAAAAAGGTATAAACAACAACATGTATAGCCTTGATGTCCTGAAATAGCTGAATAATGTAATAGTTGAATGGTTTCTGCAGCTGAAAATAGGCTGAAGGAGTTAAATATCAGATGTGAGTAGTAGTGAATGAATTTGTATTAAGATGAGAAAAGAAAGTAAAACGGCTTGGGAAAGCAGCAGAATATTTGAACTGCAAACTTTTGAACTAACTTGGTGGTGAATGATCTGTCGCCATGGCAATGGCATTTGATGACACCCCATACTACGCTTAGATGTGTTGATGGCTGCATCGTTACCAAACCTGTGAGGTTTTGGGCCATTTGGAGCATTTTCACTGAAGTTATGAGAAAACCGTGTTTCATGGTGAGCATTGTGTTGCCATGGCAACGGCATTTGAAGAAATCTCAAAACTGTCCCGTAGATGTCTTCACGGCTGGACTGTTAGCACACATCTGAAGTTTGAGCACTTTTTGAACATTTTCATAGGAGTTAGACATTACATTAGGAGGTTACATTACTCTCTTCTCTTGATCGCCCTCTCTCTCTTCTCTTGATCGCCCTCTCTCTTCTCTCTCTCTTCTCTTGAGAGAGAGAGAGAGAGATTCATTTATTTTTTATATAGGCGCCTTTCAAGGCTCTCAAGGTCGCCGTACAAACACATAAAAAACAAGATACACAATACCTAACACCAGCATAAGAAACATAAACAAGACAATGCAGTATATAACAAAATAAATAAAACAGTGTGTGATGGATATAAAAGATAGATCGAGAGAGAGAGAGAAGAGTATAGAGAATTAAATAGAATAAAGAGGAGGATGTGCCCTGATGCAGCTAACTGGCTAGATCTACGACTCGGATCATGTCGTCACGCGTGCTCTCTAAGCGCTGCTACTATACCTTTTCGCGCGCTCGCTCATAGGTTCTCTATAAGCTGTGGATATCTCTCTCTCGTCCTCTCTCTCGTGCTCATCTGCTCCTCCCTCTCGCTCTCTCTCTCTCTCGGGGCGTCGGCTTCTCAGCTCTTCTCTGCTCTATTGTGTGCTACTCTTAATCTGCTCTCTCTTCTCTTCGTGTGACTGTTGAGAGCAGATTCACAAGCTCAAATGCATGCAATAACTTCCATTAAAAAAAAGACTTTAAAAAGCTGAATATTTTAAAAAGTACAACATATTTTGAAAAAGTTGAAAGTTTCCCATCATGTGTTGAAAAGGCTGAATAGTTTGATATTTGAATGGTTGGTTCCTGCAGCTGAAATTAGGCTGAAGGAGTTAAATAAAGATATTAAATGTAAGTAGTAGTGATTGAATGTTTACAAACACCTGTGTGTGTAAACCCAGAGATCAAAGGTTTCCATGGTGTCTGCTATGATTGGATGATGTCACTCACGTGTGTGTGGCTCCAATCTGCCCAGCAACACCATGACAACCAACTGCAGCACTGAGTCCCATAAGAATGCATTGGGGATTATATATGACAATTTTGCCACCTGTTCAAAAACTATGGGTCTTATAAAAAAATCACCAGACCGTGAGCATCAGGGAACCCCAATGAACTGAAATATGTTTTTTTTGTGGGTTTTGTGTGTACAATGTGGAGATGGGAGCAGTTTATCTAAAGTGTACTTCTAGTGTAGTTATGGAGAGCTAAAGTGACTTGACTTCAATGTTAAAAAAAGAGTTTAAAAAGCTGAATATTTCAAAAAGTATGAAATATTTTGAAGAAGTTGAAGGTTTCCCATCGATTCCTGAACAGGCTGAATAATTTAATATTTGAATGGTTTCTGTAGCTGAAAATAAGCTGAAGTTATGGAGAGCCAAAGTATTGGCTGAAATAATAATAAGTGGAAAGAATAAAGAATCGAAGTACTAAAGTGGAATGCTGTCAACAGCATTTGCAATAATAAGGACACTGGCTTTACTGGTTTAGGATAATCCATCACGTCTTGTACCCACCTTGTGCACGTTGTGTATTTCCTTTGATATGCTTTGATCAATGGAGTTAAAAAGTATTGGTGTGATTCCACCGCTAATGGCTCCTGTGTTTTAATGGTTCCACCAGCTTTGTTCTGGTAGATATATAGCATATAGAGTTCATGTGTGTGCCAGAAAACTCCCACATTTTATGTCTTAAAGATCATTCTCATACTCTTATGAGATATGTGTTTGTTTTTTTCCAAAAGTCTCAGCACACTCAGTGCAGCTGATTGGTTGTTTGTTATTCTCGTCAGTCCAGCTTCAGTTCTTGTTTGGTACCATAACAAAACACATATTTGAAGCACCACATATCAAGTACTTCCGTGGAATGTCTGGTCTGATTTGTTATTTTGTTTTCCTATCCTGTGATTTGATTAACATCTCAATGCTGTGACTATGTTTCTAAGTTAGTAAGTGAAATCTTGTGAAGATGCTCAAAGAACAGTTTGACTTCCTTGGTCATATTTTTTTAAACAAAAGAAGTTAAACTTATACGTCCGATTTAAAAAAAACAGGGTAGAACAAAAGTATTTATATAAACAAAAGATTTATAGTAAACATTTGCAAATTGTACTTATATAGCATGCATGTTACAATATAAATACATATACATATTGAGGTACATGTAAGTAAAGTCAGACATTTATTTGCAGAAGCTTCAGGGTCTGCGATGGAGGAGGCTCAAGAGCTCCCTCTCTGCAGCTGCCGCATGGAGACGCCTAAAAGTCGAGAGATCCTCACGCTGGCCGACAGGAAGTGCATGGCCACGGAGAGCGTGGACGGACAGCTGAGCCGCTGCCAGGGCGCCATCCTGAAACACGAAATGATGCGCCCCTCCAACTCTGTGCAGCTGCTGGTGCTGTGCGAGGATCACCGCAACGGCATGGTGAAGCACCAGTGCTGCCCCGGCTGTGGCTTCTTCTGCAGGGCTGTGAGTACACACACTCTCTCTCTCACACACGCACACGCGCACACACACACCAGAGTTCCCGTTAGAATATTTTTTCGCCGGTCAACAAGTCCGTTAAAGTTTAACTCTTCTGGACAAAATTTAAAAAGTGCCGGTCAAAGGTCTTCTTTGTTATTTATTGAGCTTTAAAACAAATTGATATGATTCGATATTAAACAAACTAATTATAGTAGATTAACTACATTATTCAAAAGTGAACAGTAATTTACAATAACACAGGAATAATAAACGGAGCGCTCTCTCCCTCTCCTGACAGCCCGTCAGTATCATGCAGCTCGCGGATCAGTAATGAGTGACCCGACAGTGAAACTAAACACATCTATAAATAGTTTAGGTAGTTTGAGAGGTCATTAAAATAGCTACGTGTGATATTCTAACCTGGTGTGTGTTTTGTTCCGCTCACCGCTGCATGTGATCATGCAGAGCTGCGTGTCGACTCGTCAGCAGCAGCTGAACTCTCTCCCGTCAGATTAGACTTCACTCGTGTTTATGTCCATATCGATCAGATCCAGCTAGTTCTAGCTAATGATATGACTACCTGCTTATTAAAAGACACCTAAACAATAAGCGTCGCTATGCAACTGGGCGAGGCCGCAAAGTATAGCGCAGCATTATGCATTTGTTTGTATGCCCACCGGAACCCCGAGGCATTACCAACAGATCAACGCACAATCAACCCATCCAGGACATCTCTTTCTCCACATTACGTGTTAGACTTTAGAATTGTCTGTCACATAAATGGCGCAAGTTGCGCAACTGATGCGGTATTGCGCTAAGGGGAAATTATTTTGACTGGACACTTTGATCGGAGAGATTTAGATTTGCCGGTCTTCAGCATATTTTACCGGTCATAGTCCGGTAATTACCGGCTAACGGGAACTCTGACACACACACACTCACGCAAGCAATTTATATAAGTGGATAAACTAAGGGGGTGTGGTCCAGATAATGAGTCTTAATGCTGTGTTCACACCGGACGCGATGCGAATATTCGCATCGCTCAAGTTTCACCGCGGCTTGCAGTTTGTTTTATCGCGTCATTCAAAACAGACATACCATTGACGCGCCGTTGACGGACAGTTGAGGTTGTTTACACTTCCATGCAAGATCGTTTTGGTTATTTCTGTCCTTGACTATGGAGGATATAACAACTATTGCTGCTTTGTACCTTCTGTGGAAGTCCTACAAACGTAGCAACAAACGCCGTCGTGTCTGGGTTCTTATTCTCCTCCAAGCCAGCTCCTTTTTGTTGCGTCCCGGTAGATATAGGGAATCCCGGGGAACCCACTCGCAGCCACAACGATCATCTCTTCCATCTTTACATCTGATCAACAGCAGGACGTCAGAGGGAATCCCAACGCTGATTGGCTTTCGCGAGAACGCTTCCCGTGAATTTGACGCTCAAGTTGAAAGAATTGAACTCTCGCATTTGACGCGGCCCCCTTCAATCGCGTGATTCGCGCCGCGTCCACCGCTTCATGCGCGCCGTCGGAGCGAATTCGCGTCCGTCTGCGTCTCTGCATTGACTTTACATGTAATCGTGCCACCCCCAAAAATCGCATTGCGTCCGGTGTGAAGAGTGTAGAAAAATCTATACAATACATGTATTTACTTTTGAACACAGTATATCTGAAATTAAAGGATATAACATTCTTTAGGGCAAATCTCAATCAGTGATGCCGTCATTTAAAGTTACGATGTTTTCTCAGTTCCAGCTGTTTGTATGCTGTGGAAGGGACTATCTTTCTTCTTAACGGAAGCAATACGACCCTTTTTAAGTCAATAAAATCATATCAATTAATATTGGTAGTCAAGTCATAAAATGATTTAGTATGTGTAAATAGCGGAATAATGTGCAGCGAGGCGGTCATTCGCGTCAGGCTCCATTATCGCCCTGTCAGGTTTTTTTTTTTTCAATAATGACCGCCTCGCTGCACATTATCCCTTACGCAAAAACACATTATATCCTTAAGCTGCAGCAAATACAGGCCTGCTGCTGAAGTGCTCTTGAGCAAAACTCCACACAAGTCATTAGTTGTTTTGACTTTGTACATTTCACCTTTAGGGGACCTTCATGGAGTGCCAACCGGACCTCAGCATCTCTCACCGTTTCCACCGCGCCTGCGCCTCCATGCTGAAAGGTCAAAGCTTCTGTCCGCACTGCGGAGAGGAGGCCAGCAAGGCCAAGGAGGTGACCATCGCCAAGGCCGACACCACCTCCACAGTCCCCCCCGCACTCACACACGGCCCTGCAACACCCGGGGCCCCCGAGGGCCGAGCAGACACCACCACTGGCAGGTGAAGAACCACATGATGATCAACAGGTGTATGATGCTCATGTTGGGAGACTTGGTAACCTATTAGTGAATAAACATAAACAATGTGAAGGCAGCCGATTTCACTTTTTGTTTCCTCTACAGAGGATTTTTAAAGAGAAATGTTAACATTTTAAAGGTGTACAATAATGAATACCAAAGTAAGGCTTTACAAATGAATTTGAATCCTTTATAATGCTGACATTCAAATTCTTAATCAACATTTTAGATGCTGTCCAGCCTTGTTTTGCATGTCAGTTAACAGCTACACTATGTGATCAGATACTATTTATAGACTGGTCTGTTTCCAACTCATGTGATCCAAACTATTCCAAAAACTTCAGAGCTTTGATTTGTCCAAAGTAATAAGAAAATAGAAGAACATGTTTTTATCCAACAAAATATTTCTTTAATCCTTATTTGTTGATACTAAGCATTTCCAAAACAACTATTTCACTGTGTTTAAAAAACGGCTTGCCACACACAAAAGAAAGTATTATTATAACATTCATAGCACTGCTAAAATACTTTTCCATTTTCTTCTCCAGCTCCTCTCGTCTGGCCGTGGGTTCTGAGGTCAGTGGCCGTGCCGACAGCTCGCTTCCCGCTCGTTTCTCACACGCCCTCGAATCCCTGGCTGTTCCCAGCGCAGCGCAGGGCGAAGCGCTGCAGGAGGGGACCATGCTGCCCCCTACAGTCCAGCAGGGGGCTCCCAGAGAGACTCTGGAGAGTATCCTCGTGGCTCTAGATACAGAGAAGTAAGCTCCACCTTCAGAGTGTCTTTCTGTTTTATCAGGCTGAGAACAAGCCTGTGAGGTAAACATAAAGAAACACTCACTTATTTTTTCTTCTTCATCTTTTCCTCAGGCCTAAGAAGCTGCGTTTTCACCCCAAACAACTATACCTCTCAGCCAAACAGGGAGAACTCAAGAAGGTGTTGCATATGTTGGGTATGTTAACCCCGCCTGTTCCTCATTATAGTCTCCATTTGGTGTTGTGCTTCTTTTAAATGCATCTACTGTTTGTTTTCATCCATATCATTTTAATGAAGATGTTTCCTTCTCCATTTACCTTCCAGTGGACGGTATCGACCCAAACTTTAAGATGGAGTCTCAGAACAAGCGCACCCCGCTCCACGCTGCAGCGGAGGGAGGCTTCAAAGACATCTGCCACATGCTCGTACAGGTCAGACTCTCTTACTGATAATCATTCAGCCCTGCCATAGATAGATGATAGATCCTAATGTCACATTTTAAAATGAAACACGTCACTTCAGGCCGGAGCGAACCTGGACATGTGTGATGAAGATCAGCGGACGCCACTGATGGAGGCCTGTGAGAACAACTTCATAGAGGTGGTGCAGTACCTGCTGAGAGCCGGAGCCAGCGCCACTCACAAGGTACACCTGCAGATAGTTTTCTACATACTCTAATTTCCCCTCCTCGACTCCTTTCCTCGACTCCTATCCTCGATACTTAGTCCCGCCCACAGGAGATGCGAGCTGAGGACTGAGGAGGGGAACCGAGGAGAGAGGAGGGGAAGCAGCAGGCGGTTAGAGAAATGAGAACTCCTCTCCTCTCAGCGGTCATTTTAAAGAGACGTCCATTAATGATGACAGGAGGCACAGCAGCCCTCTGTCTGATGGACAGATGTGTTCATGACCACTTATATATTTACTAGGGCTGTCAAGTTAACGCGTTGTGTATTTTATTATGTGAAGCACTAAATGGTCTTAGAAAAATATCAACTCTTTGTTTGTAGTTATCTACTAAACTAAAGCAAATAAAGAGAGTAGGCCTGTTATACTCAGTGATATATATTATACACACTGCTCTGCTTTCTGCACGGACCTCACAGCTGTTCTCACTGTAAACATCGCATCGCAATGAAAGCAGTGACTAAAATAATATCCAGGCGATGCATGCATAGCTGTCATTGGCTGAGATAACTCCTGCCGTGTGTAACGCCTCCACTGTTCCCGGAAATGCATCCGTGGAGGACCCATCAGTGTCTCCTCGGTTATAGCTCCTCCAGAGAGCCTCCTCGACGCTCGGTCTTCGATGTGCATTTAGAGAAATGAGATGTCCTTCAACATGGCGCGCTGAAATCCATTTCCGGGTCACTACCGGAGGACCGAGGAGTCGAGAAGGGGAAATTAGAGTATTGAGAAACCTCTCTGGTGTATTTGACCGTCTGATTGTTTTGGTAGCTGTTGGACTGGTGCTCTAACTTTATACTTTTTGTCCAAATTAAATTAAAAAAATTAAATTTATTTAAGTGGTTTCTTGCTAAATATATAAATTATTTCGTCATATCCATATACCAACGGTGACCAAGGGCCTTTTCTGTTAGGGCCCCCACCTCTCTGAGGATATTAGACTGGAAAGCTTTGTATCCTATTTTAAACCCCTACTAAAAAACACATTCAATTAGTGTGTTATTCACAGGGTTTGAGGGCTGAGTATCCACATAAAACCTATTTATATATATTTTTAAAGCATTTTCTCGTATTTTATTATTTGGATTGTTATTTAGTTTTTATTTATTTTATAAAAAATATTCTCTTGTACTTTTTGTCATATGCATTAAATACATTTTAAACAGTTGGTTGTCTGGCGTGTTTATCAGGTACAGCACTTTGTTTTGAAAAGTATTCTACAAATAAAGATTAAATATTTGTATAACTTGTATCTTGAGACTTGAGGAACTGTAAATAATTGGCTTCTCTGCTGCTCTCAGGATGTTGAAGGGTTCACATGTTTCCACCTAGCGGCAAAGTCTGGTCATTACAACATCGTTGAGTACCTTCTGAACACCGGAGTGATCAACATCAACTGTCAGGTTGGTACCATTTCACATTTCCCTTTCAACCCTCTTTGATACACTCAGGATTTCATTCAATATATTTTTGGGTTGATGACGTCATAACATATAACAGACATTTGGCGCTTCAATCAAAAACCTCAATAGAAGCTTTGAAGCTACAAAAGACATTTGGTACAGCCCTACGAAAAAGTTTCACGTCTTCTCAAAGATGAGCTTTGTTGATGTGAAATCACTATTAGGAGTCGGATTCAACTTCATTTCACACACTATCCGAACAATGAGCTCTTAGGAAGGATCTCCAATTGGAAATAACACGTAAGAAAAAGGAATACACAAATATTTTGACTAGAGGGTTTCAGTATTTTCTATACACTGTAGGCTTCCCTTCAAATGCACTTGTTCAAGTAAACGAGATGTCAACACCTGTTAAATTATTCAAATCAAGTTTTATTTATATAGCACATTTATAAACAATTTTTGGTCGAGCCAAAGTGCTGTACATATGATAAAAATAGCCTACAGTAGAGACACTTTACAGCTAATACAACAGCACAGATTGTTCAGAATATCAGGATGAGAAAAACGACACCCTCTATCCTTAGACCCTCACATCGTACAAGGAAAAACTTCCAGAGAAAACCCACAGTTTAAAGGGAAAATGGGAGAAACCTCAGGGAGAGCAACAGAGGAGGGATCCCTCTCCCAGGACGGACAGACGTGCAATAGATGCCGTGTGTAAATCAAAGAGATAATACATTTTACAGCATATAGACCGAATGTTAGGAAATGCATGTGTCTGTAATAAGAAGATGAATCCACGAGGATGTCAGCTACAACACAGTACAGAAACAAATGACTTTTGTCATATAGGTGTGTTTCAGATTCACTCAGCTGATCAGTGATCAGTCAGCTGAGCTTGTCTTATTCTCCTCAGGATGATGGAGGTTGGACAGCCATGATCTGGGCGACAGAGTATAAGCACGCGGACCAGGTGAAGCTGCTGCTGTGCAAAGGCGCCGACATCAGCATCAGGGACAAGGTTGGCTAATGAGCACTCTGTGTTTCACATGCGTTACAGAAGAAAGAATGGTCTCTAATGGTGTTAATGGGTTTTTTTGTCTAGGAGGAGAACATCTGCCTGCACTGGGCAGCGTTCTCCGGCAGCGTGGAGATCGCCGAGCTGCTCCTGAACGCTCGCTGTGACCTGCAGGTCGTCAACATCCACGGAGACTCTCCTCTGCACATCGCTGCTCGGGAGAACCGCTTAGAATGTGTCACGTGAGTTAATGTCTTTAGAAAATAGAACAAATGTTAGTTTTGTGTACCTGTAGTTTAAAACAAGAGGATTGCTTCAAACTGAAAAATAAGAGCCCGTGTCCACATATCACATTTTTCCGAGCGCCAGCATCTATTTTCATTTGGTTCCAATGAGGAGTTGGCGAATGCTGTTGAATGTGGTCGCCTCGAGAAAAAGTGCTTCACCTGGGGTCATGTTGCTGCTTTGAGTTTGACTTTATTACAATATCAGAATAGCGCCAAAGCTAATTTGTACAAAGGTTGAATGCAAGCTTCTGCCGCTAGGTTGTAATGGTTAAAAAACAATGTCAAACAAACAGAAAGGGTGCAATGCTTGTCATACAAAAACTGTGATATGTTGTCAAGATACCACTATCACAGAAACAATAACCAATTGTCTTTTTCATGGATGAATCGTGGGAGAAAGCTCTCCCCAGCATCATTCTGCCAAAAAGTCGCTATGTGGACACGCGCCCTAAATATGTGTTTCCAAATGGTTGATCAGATTGTGCTCTCCTCAGGCTGTTCCTGACTCACGGAGCAGATGTGTTTCTGAAGAACCGCGAGGGAGAAACTCCTCCAGACTGCTGCAGCAACAACTCCAAAGCCTGGGCCGCGCTGCAGGCCAACCGGAAGGAGAGGGACTCCAAGAGCAGCACGCTCCACCGAGCGCAGGAGAAAGTGCTTCAGAGGTTAGAATTATTCTGTGGAGATAGGAGTGGGTATATGGCGTTGGATACAGGTTGAAAGAAAGGATGCTATCAAGTGTTCTAGGCTTATTAGGTGGTCAAAACATAACCTTTTGACCCCAGCATTTTTGTTACTGCCCCTGTATCAGATATGCTTGACATTGACTTCTTAACACGTGGCCTTTTGTGGTCATTCATTATTTTATGATTCCTATGATGTTCTAATGTTTTGTCAAGCACTTTGTGACTATGTCTGTGAAAAGCGCTTGATAACAAAATGTTGCCTTCTTACTCTTATTATCGTCTGCTCTGTTTACAGTGACATAGCTCTGGGACAGGAGAGAATTCCCCTCCCGTGTGTCAACTCTGTGGACAGTGAGCCTCACCCAGACGACTACAAATACATCCCCGAAAACTGCGTCACCTCGCCCATGAACATCGACCGTAACATAACGCACCTACAGGTCAGTAAGAAACCGCACCACCAGATATTTGAAACAAAGAGGCTTTTATGCCCTCTGTGATCGGCAGAGTGAAATGACCAGTATTATTTTCTCTCTTTCCGGTGGATAACAGTACTGTGTTTGTAAAGAAGACTGTTCAACGAGTATCTGCATGTGTGGACAGCTCAGCCTGCGCTGCTGGTACGACAAGGTGAGAACAGACACGTCTGCATCTGAACGCCAAGCAGTCTCAGGGCTTTTTGTATCATCCTGTCACTTTTTACTCACTGTTGACTCGCTTTGCATTATACACCTATGGAAATAGCACATTAATGGCTAGAAGTAGGAACTATTCCATGTTTTGATTACAGTGTAACAAATATATAATGCCTTAAAAAGGAAGAAATGCAAGTGGAAGTTCTTTGATAATTTATTTTAGAAAAATTGGACAAAAAACATTTCCAGTTCCCCGAAACACTGTCTCCACATACAATTTAAAAGAAAGACATGGTGGGGGGGGGGGAACTTAAACTTAAAATCTGCCACTAAAATGTTGTCATGACACTGTTGGTTTGTTTTTTACGCAATCTGGTTACTGCATTCTGTCGAAATGTGAAATTAAATGTAGAAATACAGTGATTAAGATAACATTTTTGTATTTAAGCTCAAATGTGGTGGTTTTTCCTGAAAGAAGCGTTTCATACACATAATTTGTTCAAGGACCGTCAAGACTCTGACAATACTTTAGTTTTTCACGTTTTTTGACTCTGAGAAATGGTGTAATTTCAGCAGCTTTAAAAGAAAACATGTATTTTACAACTTGACAGTGTGTTGTGGTGGTCATAGGGTTATGTACAAGCAGCACCAGACCAAAAGCGTGTGAGTTTTTAATTCTTCTTTTGTTGTCGTGTTCAGAAGGGTCGTCTGCTCCCTGAGTTCTGCCGGGAGGAGCCTCCTCTCATCTTTGAGTGTAACCACGCCTGCTCCTGCTGGAGGACCTGCAAGAACCGCGTCGTGCAAAATGGAATCAGGTACTTCATGGGTCCACAAATAACAATACAAATAAAACTTAATGCAGCAGAGAATTGATTTAGCCCATTAGTCATTTACTTATTTTATTTATATATACCTAACTGGTCTATAGTGTATATATTATACTGTCTATGTACCTCTATGTGTATTCAATATTTATACCACTGTCTATAGTGTTTATACCCATTAATTGTGTTTAAAACTTCTGTAGTTCTAGAACTATTAAAGCATTTTGTTGTAACTACATTTTTCTTTTTTTGTGAGGTGTGAAAAGTTAAATATCTGTTTATAAAGCTGTAACATAAAGTTGTTGTGTATCTTCCAGGACCAGGCTGCAGCTCTTCAGGACCAGTAAGAAGGGCTGGGGTGTGCGTGCGCTACATGACATACCACAGGGGACCTTTGTATGCGAGTAAGTCCCACTTACTAATACAAACAAGGTTTCTTTTCTACGCCTTTTATACATCAACATGTGTCCCCTCTTCTTCATGTCTCTTCTACATCAACATGTGTCCCCTCTTCTTCATGTCTCTTCTACATCAACATGTGTCCCCTCTTCTTCATGTCTCTTCTACATCAACATGTGTCCCCTCTTCTTCATGTCTCTTCTACATCAACATGTGTCCCCTCTTCTTCATGTCTCTTCTACATCAACATGTGTCCCCTCTTCTTCATGTCTCTTCTACATCAACATGTGTCCCCTCTTCTACATCAACATGTGTTATCTCTTCTTCATGTCTCTTCTACATCAACATGTGTCCCCTCTTCTTCATGTCTTTTCTACATCAACATGTGTCCCCTCTTCTTCATGTCTCTTCTACATCAAACATGTGTCCCCCTCTTCTTCATGTCTCTTCTACATCAACATGTGTCCCCTCTACTTCATGTCTCTTCTACATCACATGTGTTCTCCTCTTACTTCATGTCTCTTCTACATCAACATGTGTCCCCTCTTCTTCAATGTCTCTTCTACATCAACATGTGTCCCCTCTTCTTCAGGTCTCTTCTACATCAACATGTGTCCCCTCTTCTTCATGTCTCTTCTACATCAACATGTGTCCCCTCTTCTTCATGTCTCTCTTCTACATCAACATGTGTCCCCTCTTCTTCATGTCTCTTCTACATCAACATGTGTCCCCTCTTCTTCAGGTCTCTTCTACATCAACATGTTCCCCTCTTCTTCATGTCTCTTCTACATCAACATGTGTCCCCTCTTCTTCATGTCTCTTCTACATCAACATGTGTCCCCTCTTCTTCATGTCTCTTCTACATCAACATGTGTCCCCTCTTCTTCATGTCTCTTCTACATCAACATGTGTCCCCTCTTCTTCATGTCTCTTCTACATCAACATGTGTCCCCTCTACTTCATGTCTCTTCTACATCAACATGTGTTATCTCTTCTTCATGTCTCGTCTACATCAACATGTGTCCCCTCTTCTTCATGTCTCTTCTACATCAACATGTGTCCCCTCTTCTTCATGTCTCTTCTACATCAACATGTGTCCCCTCTTCTTCATGTCTCTTCTACATCAACATGTGTCCCCTTCTTCTCATGTCTCTTCTACATCAACATGTGTCCCATCTTCTTCATGTCTCTTCTACATCAACATGTGTCCCCTCTTCTACATCAACATGTGTCCCCTCTTCTTCATGTCTCTTCTACATCAACATGTGTCCCCTCTTCTTCATGTCTTTTCTACATCAACATGTGTCCCCCCTCTTCTTCATGTCTCTTCTACATCAACATGTGTCCCCTCTTCTTCATGTCTCTTCTACATCAACATGGTTCCCCTCTTCTTCATGTCTCTTCTACATCAACATGTGTCCCCTCTACTTCATGTCTCTTCTACATCAACATGTGTCTCCTCTTCTTCATGTCTCTTCTACATCAACATGTGTCCCCTCTTCTTCATGTCTCTTTCTACATCAACATGTGTCCCCTCTTCTTCATGTCCTCTTCTACATCAACATGTGTCCCCTCTTCTTCATGTCTCTTCTACATCAACATGTGTCCTCCCTCTTCTTCATGTCTCTTCTACATCAACATGTGTCCCCTCTTCTTCATGTCTCTTCTACATCAACATGTGTCCCCTTCATGTCTCTTCTATCAACATGTGCCCTCTTCTACATCAACATGTGTCCCCTCTTCTTCATGTCTCTTCTACATCAACATGTGTCCCCCTCTTCTTCATGTCTTTTCTACATCACATGTGATCCCTCTTTCTTCAGGTCTCTTCTACATCAACATGTGTCCCCTCTTCTTCATGTCTCTTCTACATCAACATGTGTCCCCTCTTCTTCATGTCTCTTCTACATCAACATGTGTCTCCTCTTCTTCATGTCTCTTCTACATCAACATGTGTCCCCTCTTCTTCATGTCTTTTCTACATCAACATGTGTCCCCTCTTCTTCATGTCTCTTCTACATCAACATGTGTCCCCTCTTCTTCATGTCTCTTCTACATCAACATGTGTCCCCTCTTCTTATGTCTCTTCTACATCAACATTGTTCCCCTCTTCTTCATGTCTCTTCTACAATCAACATGTGTCCCCTCGTCTTCATGTCTTCTACATCAACATGTGTCCCCTCTTCTTCATGTCTCTTAAACATCAACATGTGTCCCCTCTTCTTCATGTCTCTTCTACATCAACATGTGTCCCCTCTTCTTCATGTCTCTTCTACATCAACATGTGTCCCCATCTTCTTCATGTCTCTTCTACATCACATGTGTCCCCTCTTCTTCATGTCTCTTCTACATCAACATGTGTTATCCTCTTCTTCATGTCTCGTCTACATCAACATGTGGTCCCCATCTTCTTCATGTCTCTTCTACATCAACATGTGTCCCCTCTTCTTCATGTCTCTTCTACATCAACATGTGTCCCCTCTTCTTCATGTCTCTTCTACATCAACATGTGTCCCCTCTTCTTCATGTCTCTTCTACATCAACATGTGTCCCCTCTTCTTCATGTCTCTTCTACATCAACATGTGTCCCCTCTTCTACATCAACATGTGTCCCCTCTTCTTCATGTCTCTTCTACATCAACATGTGTCCCCTCTTCTTCATGTCTTTTCTACATCAACATGTGTCCCCTCTTCTTCATGTCTCTTCTACATCAACATGTGTCCCCTCTTCTTCATGTCTCTTCTACATCAACAATGTGTCCCCTCTTCTTCATGTCTCCTTCTACATCAACATGTGTCCCCTCTTCTTCATGTCTCTTCTACATCAAACATGTGTCCCCTCTTCTTCATGTCTCTTCTACATCAACATGTGTCCCCTCTTCTTCATGTCTCTTCTACATCACATGTGTCCCCTCTCTTCAAATGTCTCTTAAACATCACATGTGTCCCCTATTCTCATGTCTCTTCTACATCAACATTTGTCCCCTCTTCTTCAAGTCTCTTCTACATCAACATGTGTCCCCTCTTCTTCATTGTCTCTTCTACATCAACATGTGTCCCTCTTCTTCATGTCCTCTCTACATCAACATGTGTCCCCTCTTCTCATGTCTCTTCTACATCAACATGTGTTATCTCTTCTTCATGTCCTCGTCTACATCAACATGTGTCCCCTCTTCTTCATGTCTCTTCTACATACAACATGTGTCCCCTCTCTTCATGTCTCTTCTACATCAACTGTGTCCCCTTTCTTCATGTCTCTTCTACATCAACAATTGTGTCCCCTCTTCTTCTCATGTCTCTTCTACATCAACATGTGTCCCCTCTTCTTCATGTCTCTCTTCTACTCAACATGTGTCCCCTCTTCTACATCAACATGTGTCCCCTCTTCTTCATGTCTCTTCTACATCAACATGTGTCCCCTCTTCTTCATGTCTTTTCTACATCAACATGTGTCCCCTCTTCTTCATGTCTCTTCTACATCAACATGTGTCCCCTCTTCTTCATGTCTCTTCTACATCAACATGTGTCCCCTCTTCTTCATGTCCCTTCTACATCAACATGTGTCCCCTCTTCTTCATGTCTCTTCTACATCAACATGTGTCTCCTCTCTTCATGTCTCTTCTACATCAACATGTGTCCCCTCTTCTTCATGTCTTTTCTACATCAACATGTGTCCCCTCTTCTTCATGTCTCTTCTACATCAACATGTGTCCCCTCTTCTACATCAACATGTGTCCCCTCTTCTTCATGTCTCTTCTACATCAACATGTGTCCCCTCTCTCATGTCTTTTCTACATCAACATGTGTCCCCTCTTCTTCATGTCTCTTCTACATCAACATGTGTCCCCTCTTCTTCATGTCTCTTCTACATCAACATGTGTCCCCTCTTCTTCATGTCTCTTCTACATCAACATGTGTCCCCTCTTCTTCATGTCTCTTCTACATCAACATGTGTCTCCTCTTCTTCATGTCTCTTCTACATCAACATGTGTCCCTCTCTTCTTCATGTCTTTTTCTACATCAACATGTGTCCCCTCTTCTTCATGTCTCTTCTACATCAACATGTGTCCCCTCTTCTTCATGTCTCTTCTACATCAAACATGTGTCCCCTCTTCTTCATGTCTCTTCTACATCAACATGTGTCCCCTCTTCTTCATGTCCTCTTCTACATCAACATGTGTCCCCTCTTCTTCATGTCTCTTCTACATCAACATGTGTTTCCCTCTTCTTCATGTCTCTTCTACATCACATGTGTCCCCTCTTCTTCATGTCCTCTTCTACATCAACATGTGTCCCCTCTTCTTCATGTCTCTTCTACATCAACATGTGTCCCCTCTTCTTCATGTCTCTTCTACTATCAACATGTGTCCCCTCTTCTTCATGTCTCTTCTACATCAACATGTGTCCCCTCTTCTTCATGTCTCTTCTACATCACATGTGTCCCCTCTTCTTCATGTCCTCTTATACATCAACATGTGTCCCCTCTTCTTCATGTCTCTTCTATATCAACATGTGTCCCCCTCTTCTTCATGTCTCTTCTACATCAACATGTGTTCTCCTCTTCTTCATGTCTCTTTACATCAACATGTGTCCCTCTTCTTCATGTCTCTTCTACATCAACATGTGTCCCCTCTTCTTCATGTCTCTTCTACATCAACACGTGTCCCCTCTTCTTCATGTCTCTTCTACAATCAACACGTGTCCCCTCTTCTTCATGTCCTTCTACATCAAACACGTGTGCCCCTCTTCTTCATGTCTCTCTACAATCAACATGTGACCCCTCTTCTTCATGTCTCTTCTACATCAACATGTGTCCCTTCTTCTTCATGTCTCATTCTACATCAACATGTGTCCCCCCTCCTTCTTCATGGTCTCTCCTCTAACATCACCATGTGCCCCCCCTCTTCTTCATGTCTCGTCTACATCAACATGTGTCCCCTCTTCTTCATGTCTCTTCTACATCAACATGTGACCCCTCTTCTTCATGTCTCTTCTACATCAACATGTGTCCCCTCTTCTTCATGTCTCTTCTACATCAACATGTGTCCCCTCTTCTTCATGTCTCTTCTACATCAACATGTGTCCCCTCTTCTTCATGTCTCTTCTACATCAACATGTGTCTCCTCTTCTTCATGTCTCTTCTACATCAACATGTGTCCCCTCTTATTCATGTCTCTTCTACATCAACATGTGTCCCCTCTTCTTCATGTCTCTTCTACATCAACATGTGTCCCCTCTTCTTCAAGTCTCTTCTACATCAACATGTGTCCCCTCTTCTTCATGTCTCTTCTACATCAACATGTGTCCCCTCTTCTTCATGTCTCTTCTACATCAACATGTGACCCCTCTTCTTCATGTCTCTTCTACATCAACATGTGTCCCCCTCTTCTTCATGTCTCTTCTACATCAACATGTGTCCCCTCTTCTTCATGTCTCTTCTACATCAACATGTGTCCCCTCTTCTTCATGTCTCTTCTACATCAACATGTGTCCCCTCTTCTCATGTCTCTTCCTCTTCTACATCAACATGTGTCCCCTCTTCTTCATGTCTCTTCTACATCAACATGTGTCTCCTCTTCTTCATGTCTCTTCTACATCAACATGTGTCCCCTCTTATTCATGTCTCTTCTACATCAACATGTGTCCCCTCTTCTTCATGTCTCTTCTACATCAACATGTGTCCCCTCTTCTTCAAGTCTCTTCTACATCAACATGTGTCCCCTCTTCTTCATGTCTCTTCTACATCAACATGTGTCCCCTCTTCTTCATGTCTCTTCTACATCAACATGTGACCCCTCTTCTTCATGTCTCTTCTACATCAACATGTGTCCCCTCTTCTTCATGTCTCTTCTACATCAACATGTGTCCCCTCTTCTTCATGTCTCTTCTACATCAACATGTGTCCCCTCTTCTTCATGTCTCTTCTACATCAACATGTGTCCCCTCTTCTTCATGTCTCTTCTACATCAACATGTGTCCCCTTCTGAAAGTTTCAGGAAAAAAGATTCCCTCTCTTTTTGTCCTGATCCATTTATATACAAACCTGTCTGAAAATGAGCTGATCAGATTTTGGCCACTTTATGATGTCATAACAATGTTTTGAATTGTGTGACCATTAGCCAATCACCAACCAAGGTAACCCCCCCCCTTATCACCTGAATCTCCTCCTAGAGCACCATTGAGTTCTTTTTAACCAAATCTCTCTCAGAGGGGCGTGGGGAGGGGCTCCTTATTTTCATCTGAAGTAACAGACAGAGAATCAGCACTTTTGAAACAGGGCTGAAACAGAGAGGATTATGGGTAATGCTGCAATGATCTGTTTGGTGTTTGGAGCCAAACACTTCAGAGACATGTTTGTATATATCTGAGACCTGTAATATATTGATGAAAAACAGTATGATAGGGACCTTTTAAAAAACAAAAACAAAAAAAAAACCCTGCTACTCTCACACATGCAGTTTGGATCTCTTGCCACATGGTATCAGCTCAGAGTTTAACGGTGTGCTTTTTCACGTTCTGAAGTGCTGTCGATGTCACGGAGGTGTTTCCCTGATGTGCCTGTCACTATCCTGCTAATGTGTTGAAACTATATGACAGCTTTTTTATTTATTTCTAAAATCACTACTATTCAGTTCTGCGACAGCTGTCGGGAGAAACAAGTTCTTAATCTAAATATTGTGGGTTTAATTGAATGTTATCATAGTCCAGTCAGTGTGCTGGACTTGTTCTTTTTTTTAACTAGATGTGTTGGCAACAGAAGGAGAGCAAGTTAATAAATCAAATCAACTTTATTTAGAGAAAACAAATAGTCATCAGTAGGATATACAATCTGGCAGCAAACACACAGTTATTACAGAGCAATAAAGGCCTTTTGTTTTGTGTTCTCTGTGTAAGGTACAACAAACCCATATTTCTCAATGCTTATGAAACAAAATAGAGGCATCAGAACAGAATAATCAAGCTCATTGGATACATTTTTGACTTGACAAATTGCATGTGATCGTATAATATATGTTGGTTGATACCAGGCAGTTACTTTGGGATTATAACATGTGTTTTCTATTATCTAAATGGAGTCATCCACTCGGTGTTGAATTGCTTTACCAGCGGGGGATGTGAAGTCTTTGAAGCTCAGTATCTCAGAGCTGCAGTCCTCCCAAATAAAACCTTATAATTCCCCACTCATGAGGAGTTGGCGTGTCATAAACAGCATTAGATGAAAAGCTCTCAGTGATGTCTGCTGACGGGTCACCTGCTTTTGAACAGGTACGTGGGGGAGATCATCTCCGAGGCAGAGGCCGAGATGAGGCAGAACGACACGTACCTGTTCAGCCTGGACGATAAGGTAAAGCACCCTAACCCCATCACCTCTTTACTTCTCCTTTCAGCCGTCACGTTGTTTCAGTTTGAGTCTCCTATTTATCTCCCTCACAGCCACAAGATCAATACTGCATCGACGCTCGTTTCTATGGCAACATCAGCCGCTTCCTCAATCACATGTGCGAGCCCAACCTGTTCGCCTGCCGAGTTTTCACGAAGCACCAGGACCTCCGTTTCCCACACATTGCCTTCTTCGCCAGTGAGAACATCAAGGCTGGAGAGGAGCTGGGGTAACACTTCATTTTTTATTTTGACGATTTTAATGCATTATAGGATGAATTCTTGATGCCCAAGTTGATGGAAAATGATAGTGTCCAGAACTCTGTTAAGTGTTTGAATTTACACAGTTACAATATTAAACTGAAAACTGTAACAGCGTAGACGTAGTGGTATTGAAAATAAGAATCCTGGTGAAATCTTTACCGTTCTAAAAGCCATCCAGTGTATCAGCTTTAGTAACATGAGACAACCTGATTTGTTATTAGGGCACTTGTAGGTTGAGTTGGGTCATTTCTTAAGTTTACTTCCGCCCTGATAGAGTGGTTCAGGAATGAGTCCTACAACCCAGAAATGAGTTACCATTTTTACGTGTTTTGGTTTAATGCCTGTTATAAGATATGTGGTTAACACAAATGTACGACATGCAAGTAACCTGCAAATAAAAGTCTTGGAAGAAAAATAATCACTTTCTCATCCGCTCTCTCTTCAGATTTAACTATGGCGACCACTTCTGGGAAGTAAAGAGCAAGCTGTTCAGCTGTGAGTGCAGCTCTGCCAAGTGCAAGTTCTCGTCGGCGGCCCTGGCGTCGCTGCAGGCGGACAGCACACCAGAGGAGCAGCAGCCCAGCGCTCTGCCCGACACCAGCTCCTCCAACACCCCCTCCTAAAGCCCCCCCCCCCCCCCCACACACTACACGTACCCACGACTGACGGACACATCCTCTTTGAACTTTTATCAGTCGACTTGTACTGTCTCTCTACTTCTGATTGAAACCGTGGACCTTTGCGAGAACACGTTAAACGTTGTCACACACAACCAGACGCACAATCAAAACCTGAAGGAACTTCCTGCTCCTTTATTTGGTCACAGGAACAGCAGGGGGCAGCAAATGTCACAGCGACAATAAAACAGTCTTTACAGAACTTTACTCGGAGGGAGAACCGTGCATTTTGACTTTTTTTTAAGATGATTGAAATTGTTAAAAGGCTTTTCTTATTGAGTTAAGATCAAGGGACTTTGGGTGGGGGGTACAATTGCCTGTTGCAGAGACGACCTCAGCATACAGCTGGGCTTTTTTTGACCGTTGCGGTCGTTTATCATGAACCATTCCAGCAAGATAACTGATAAATATTTAATTTTGTTGCCACTTCTTTGTGTCACTTCATCTTTGTTGCAGTGTTTGAACAGAAACGTCCGACATTTGCCACCATAATTAATTATGAGTTAAGAAATAATTTGGAAAGCAAAAGACATGGTGCAAAGTAGTGGACATTTTGTATCTGCGGTCGTTAGTCTGAATAAATTGGCTGTCCTTTTTCATTAAGCATGTTTAAGGGGATCTTAACGTGTCGTAGGAATTTATAAAACTGAAATGGAGGGTTTAAAAAACAAAGGAAAATGGTGCTGACAAAGGTTTTTACTTTTGTTTTAATTTGTATTACCCTCGTGAACATAGTTTGTAAGATAAGAGAACGTTTTACATTTTTTATGTTTAATTTTAACTCCACTTTTCTAAGCGTAGTAACTGTAGTTAGGCTATTTTTAATTTAGTTTCATGATTTTGCAGACCGAAGCGAACCCGTCTTTTTAAATGTTGTTAGTAAAGCAGTGACTGTTGTGCAAAGTCTTGAAAGGAATAAATAAATGAAAAAAAAAGCTATAAAAATGCACTTCATAACTTTCTGTTACATATTTCTGGACCGTGAATCATCCATCTTAATGGTTGTATCTTTTTCAATAAATTTACTACTAATGCATTTATTCTGATATGCTTCACTTGTAGTTTCTTGAGCCTGTTTGCTACAATGTTACCTCAAAATATGTTTTCAAATTTTTTATATCACATTTTTCTCTTTCTCCAACTGTAATTTTGCAGATTTCCTTCAGATCCACTGCTTTTCAGCTCCTTATCCTGTCAAACACATCCTCAGCCCGACCCGGCAGCTGCTCCGTTTGACAGACTGCGCTAAAATGTTGGATCTGCTGACACTTCCCACACATAGGGAGCTTTAATGAGTATATATTAAAGCTTTTAGTTTGATAGTAGAGTGGTAGTAAATACTGCAGCAGAAATACTCCATTACGGGTCAAATCATGGATTCACAATTATTTTGAGATAACTTTCCCTTCTCTTGCGTTTCGTGTCAAAAGTGACCGAGTGACTTTGTTTTTGATCATACATATTGTGTTTTTCATCCAATTGCCTCAAGACCTTATGTTATCCTCCACACTAGGCCTCTGAACATATACAATTGATGATCACCACTTGCATTGATTTTTTTGTGATTTATCCAACAGTGAAACACCCATGATGTTTTCGGTCAGAATTGACCGCCATAGGAAATGACACACACACACACACACACTCTCTCTCCTTGTGCTTATGTCCCCCCACACCTTCCAGACAACAATGTACTCTAAGTTACGGGGACCTCTCACTTTCTCGCGCTGTATGATACAATGTTTCATACCTTCTCACAGGTGCGAGCTCTGTGCCCCTCGAGAAAGAAAACCCTCTCGCTTTCTCGCAGTAAATACCCCTCCCTTACTGTCTCTGATGCAATTATATTTGTGCCTTGCTCACATTTGACTCATTGACACAATGAGTAGGCAACCGATTAGGCAATTTTCTGTCAGAGAGGCTCTGGACAAATGTTTTGAACCCGATGAAGAGGAGATTGAACCAGAAATAGAGGACGATGTCTCAGAAATGGAAGACAACAGCGATCCAGACTATGAGCCTGATCAACAGTCAACAGACCAGGAAGAGGCCCCTGAGGAAGAGGCCCCTGAGGGAGAGGAGCCCTGAATATTTATTTTTCTCAAAATGTTCATTGAGGAAAACAGTATCAGTGTCTTATTTTATATTCATCACAGTGAATTCAGTGAATGCTGAACTTGATGGGCCCACCGGTGGGTCCGGACCATATACTGTAGTTGAAAGTACACAATGAAACACTGACTTGCTTGTATCAAATCAATACATCCATACACCATTGGAATGGGAAGAATCTCAGCTACAACACTAACTAAAGCATCTCCAGTAAATACAGCCTACATGGCAAGCATTTTTATAATGTACAGTAACTTACTGCTAAATTATAACATGAAATTCACCCCTGGAATCATTCTGTCTGTCACCCCTTGATTATACTTGCTTTGACTGTTCAAATGAGATGTCAACCATCAAAATTGGATAAGGGGTTCCAGAGATATCACTGTGCAAAACACACAGTATGGGAAGGGGGACCTAACGCAAGAGAAGTGTTAACATGTGTTTGCATAAGTTTAAGAAATAAAAACGCTATGAAGGTTCTTCTTGGTAAAGCTACTCTAAACCAAATGTTCTTACTCATGCCTCTTCCATAAGGAGGGGTGTGCAAAATGTGCTTGATTGACAGCCCCCATCACTCTTTAGTTGCACCTTTTATGGTGGAATAAATTATGACGTAAAGTGTGTTTGCAATGCAAAGTCAGTTACATTTGTGAATGAAAGAACTACTTGGTAAATACTAGATTAGCGTTAACGAGAGTGGGTTTATTTTATATCCGTCCCAAATTACATTTGTTCTTCCATCCAATGGGAATGGGGCAGATGATTGAAATAATTAGCCTGTCAAATCATTACAAATGATGGCAAATAACCGTAACTTACAGTAAGAGATTTATAGGAGAGCTTATGAACTGTAGAAAACATTTAACACTAGAATATTTGTTCATTTTTAATTTGCCTTAAAAAAAATGTTATTGGAATTATGATAAACAATTTGTATGTAATTATAGTGACTCCGTAGGGTACGGCTGAGGCTGTGTGATAAATTAAATAGCACTGCACAAAATCCCATTGCAATCTATCCTGTTTTGGTTTGAAATGTTTGTCTAGACCAAAGTGATGTCTCTTCTGACAATGCCATTGCTATTGCAGTTGTATCAGTGCTTGAAAAACGAACATATTACATATTACAAAATACTCATCTGCAAAGTCACCTGTAGGTTGAAAAGCTGTTGAAAAGTAAAAGGTAGTCATTTCGTCGAAAGCTAACGTAGAGAAAGTCTCAAAATAGAAATGTATACATTCATTTCCCATTGTACTAATTTCAGTAAACATAGGTCCTTCCCACCTCTGCAATTAAACTCTTAAAGTTATAAAAACATGAATTCAGCTGCTGTTGTCCATCTCCCAGTGGATTTGGATTCATAATGTCCCCTCCAGCAGCAATATGAAAGAAAGCCCGGCAGGAAGTCAGTTTCTGTAACATCTGCAGGCCTTTTAGGTCTCATAAACTGCCCGATGATTGCTCCCTTCCTGGTAACCAGGGCGGACAGCGAAAAACAGAGCCGATAATTGAATCAGTGAAATTTCTCCTTGAGCATGGAAGACGCTCGGTCTGATAACGAGGTTCTTAACTGGCAGGACAGGAAGCAGCCCTTTTCCGCATTCCAGGGTGGGAGAAACTTTTATTTTTGTCTTTGGTGCCCCTGCCCTGGTGCCTCCTGCAGACATACATGTACCGTGTATAGGGGTCAAAGAGTTGATTTATTCCACTCTTCAGTTGGATGTACCTCAGTAACCCTGGAGAGCAGTTATGAAGAGAAGTCTTCCTCACAACTCGAGATGGGCAGAGAGACGGTCAACTGTGGTTTATGGTACGTTTATTCTACTTCTAACCACCTACGATTGTATTTGTGGTAAGACTTTATATTAAGGTACACTTATTCACCATCAATTAGTTGTTAATGAACATATTAGAGACAAACTACTAGCTTATTTTTTATGAAAAATACTTCACTTTAAAATAGGGAACATATTCTAATCTTAGTTAGAAACACACTTTTTTTGTGTTATTTTGACACAATAAACACTTGTAGTTTCATGTCTTGTTACATAAGAATAGACCATATTTGTTTGGTGTTATTATGGGAGAATTATTATTCTTGTGGTACTGCTGCCTTATTTACCCCATATTGAGCATATTAAGACCCAAACTCATGTACAACAACTTCCTTATTTACAATAAATAAGCACTAATAAGAGGATTATTAAGGAACAACTCTTAACTAATGGCCTATTACTTGTAGAATAAGGCATTAATACTTGTTTTATAATGACTAATAAAGAGCCAATATACTGCTAATATGCATATTTAATTAACAACTAGTTGATGGTGAATATATACCTTAATATAAAGTGTTACTGCATTTGTTTACATGTCTTTATTGTATGAACAACCATTATATTAGGGTTGTTAAACCTGAGTGGAGGCCTCTGGGTCAAACCAATGTGAATAACTGTGTTATACAGTTTGAAATGATACATCACAGAGTCTAATGATTCAGTTAATCTCAAAGGTTTTATTTGCTTTGTCTCATACACTGCCATCACAACTCAAACTCTCATAAGGTAACTGTCTCTGAGCTGACTAGCCTATTATTTCACTGTCCTGAGGGATTTATATAGAGTCATAAGCAGACAAAATAAATTGTGATTATATAAATAATATGCTTTATTAGTTTAACAAGGTACCTAACAAGGTAACAACAGAAACAGAAACAGTAAAAACAATGACATAACAAAAATATAAATACATGGCAACAGTATAAAAACAATTTCATTAGAGGAATTACAACTATGAAGAAAGGGGTGGATTTAAAAAGGTTTTGAGCGCAGTTTTGAAAAAGGACAAGAGGAGATGACAGGAATAGAAGAAATAAATTAAGACAATGTTAACACATCGACAGTGGTTTAAAGTCAATAAAAGCCTTTTTCACAGCAGACATTTTGACCTGTCATAGAAAATAAAAAGCACAGGTGTTACCAATTACATTAATCATGGCTCTGTTCCATTCAAGTGGGCCATAAGTTATTACAGTGTGACAGCGAACCAGGACCCTGAAAGTGAAAAAGCTAAATGGAATCCATCCATCAATTAATTAATAAATTACACCTGTGCTAACCTGTAACTGAACACAAATCTGTGACAAGTAGGCCTACTGGCTTTGCCCAATGGCTGAAACAAGATATGACTGAAATGCTTATTTTACTTGGAAAACCCAAACATAGGTGAGTAATATGCTTACTTAGAAGCAATTTAGAAGTACATAGGCTATGTCTTTGTTTGGGTATTGTACACCAACTTTGTGGAGGGCATCAGCGTCTTGATAACCGCTACATGGGAGCAGCTAACTGCTCCTCACACACGGCAGATTAAAACTCATATGTCCTTGTTTAAAATGTGTTAATACTTGTTGCCAAGAAGAGAATGAGTTATTTTATTTCGGAAAATAACTGAAACTGTACCAACAGCTAGCCTACATTTTCTGCATGACTGAGTTTTGGAACTTTCTATTTCTTTTTACTACGAGTCCTCCTACTTGTATTTTTTGCGACAAATGCTGACTTCCTAAAGTATTTTTTTGTTTAATTCCAGTTTGTTAAAGTGTGCATTATAAATCAGAAATGACATGTCTTCTGCTGAGTACTACATATCATTTATTTGAACCCCAGCGGTGCGCTCAGCCACGTTGGGCTCGTGGAGGATGCTCACCCTGGGGGCAGAGTACGAGGACACCTGGGCTGTGTCACCTGACCGGAGGGGCGTCCCCGGTCTCCAGCGGGCAGAGGGAGAGCCGGGGGCTGTGGAGGGAGAGGACCCCTGCTCTGGAGACCCGGAGGGCCCGGTGTGGAGAGCTGACACGGTGCAGAAGTATGACTCGGTGTTACACCTGGAGAACCAGAGCAGAGCGGGAAGAGGAGACGGTGTGCGTCAGATAGTCCGGAAGCACGAGACGCTGAACAGCACACCATGGCCTCGCGGGTGAGATTTATAAACATTTGAACTTGTACTTTTAAGCAGTGGTGGTAACAAGTAACTAAGTACATTTACTCAAGTACTGAACATAAGTACCATTTTGAGAGACTTGTACTTTACTTGAGTATTCTAAAGTTGTACTACTTTATACTTCTACTTCACTTCACAGGTAAAAAGTGTGCTTTTACTCCACTACATTTATTTGATATCTTTTGATAGTTTGCAGATTTGGAATAATGATATGCAGTATCAACACTTAAATAAGACTTTAGTTACAGCTGGATTAACATTCACAAGATACTCTGCAGTATACAAAGTGATTAAAACTAGCTGCACCTTTACCAGCTTTGATAACACTTTAATGATCAATCATTTTAATCAACATATATTATATTATTCTGAATGGGCCAATCTACAGAAATTATGACTTTTTACTTTTGGTAGGCTACATTAAGTAGCCTATATTTTGATGCTAATATATTTTGAATGCATGACTTTTACTTGTAACAGAGTATTCCTCTTATACTTTTACTTTTACAAGATCTGAGTACTTCTCCCACCTCTGCTTTGAAGCATGTAAAATGGGCAGATAGATAATAATAATAATAATGCTTAAAGATCAAGGAATAAGATTTAGTTGCCTCATTGCCTCATTGCAATACACTGTTTATGTGCTGTATTTGGCCTGCTTCAGGGCCTGAGACTATTCATATTATATTTGTATCAATCATAATTTTGAAATAATTAACACAACTGAAATAATAAAGGTATTTAAAACAGATTTGGACACAGGAAACCTCTTCAAGATTATTATCATAATGTGTTGGTGGTCAAAATTCTCTACCCCCTTTTTTGATTAAATTGACATCGACAAAAGTTGCCCCTCTTTGTCAAGTGAGTATTGGCGCCTCGTAAATAAGAAGATTGATCTTTGTGCTAATTGTATGCAATGTAAATGACTAGTTTTCTCACTATATGATATTTGCCAATATCACTGTCTGCCGATGCTGATTCTGTTTAATTAAGCGACCTTGGATCAGTATGAGACAATATCATACTCATCTTTCATACAAATAATTCAGATATTGTGATAATGACGATGATAAGTTTCAATGTTATTTACTGTGCTTCAAACATATTGGATTCCTGATAATCTATTTTTCTCATATGTTTACAGGATTTGCATAACCAACTGCAGTTCATGGATATTTGTTATTGGGAGGTTTATTTCCAAGGCAGCTTTATTATCTCCACATCAGTGTCTTCCTCAATATCAGCACAGGACAAGCAATAATACAGTGGCTCTTGTGTTATTTTTGCAACACATTAGCTGAACCACTAGATGGCTCCTCAGCCAGAGCGTTTGTTTCAGAGAGCTAAAGATATTCTGGCCAAAAGTATGTAGACCCCACGAACACTTCTGAGACCGAGTTCACCCATGGTGTCATTTTGAATCTTGAAACAAAATAACCTGGTAGCTTTAAATGGAAGAAACCAAGTGAGAATGTTTGATTTCACATTTGAATTAATTTCTAAATCTAATTTTGTAAAAGCAAAACTATCCTCTCCGGTAAACGCCACACCCATAACACACCAAATGCAATGAAGGTTTGTCTAAACAAGCTCTTATCTATATTAATAGTGGTCTTAATAATGGTCTTAATATTTGTGTGAGTCACTAGTCCCTATCAACAGAGCTTTTTTATTTACTTCCTTCCTATGATCAATAATTTTGTATTGATATATTCAGAAATATAATAGTTAAACACACACACATCACACTATGAATACTTTAAGTAAAACATATAAAAAGTAGACCAACTTATTTTTATTTTTTTAATATAATTGTTGCTTTGTAAATGCATACATGTATGGCATATATTTTGGCATGCATGGGTAAAGGGTTGCCACTTAGTCTTTCTACATGAAGGGTTTCAATGAGGTAATAGGAAAGGGGAACATATTTTGGTTTGGCTTTCTTTTTTTATTAGTTGGCTTTGAGTGACCCAAAACAGATAAAAGCTTATGTTAAAACAACACAAGGGTTAACAATATATACATATGTGAAAAGAAAACTGATGTTGAAACAATTGGTGTATATATATTTATTTACACAATATAATTGACCCAGAGGGAAATCGGTATCCGGTAGCTTATACAAATACACAGGAATAAAGAATGCAACTGTGAAGTAGTGAATAGAATATAATCATTTAATGTCATTATGTACAATGAAATAAATAAAAGCTTCTCCCTTTTGAAAGGCGCCATCAAAACAAAAACATCACAACATACAACAACAAATACACACAGCATATACTTATGTAAGAAATAAAGAATTAAGTGCAGTAATTATTTCCAGGGGTATAAAATGTAATAAATAATAATAGGTATGTATTTATAATAATGATATATATATATATATATATGTATATCTAGCCACCATCACTACTACAGAAAGCTGTCACAATAATATGTGCTAATAATGGAGGTATTGTTTTGCATTTATGTTGATTGAAGTAATTACAACTGTGTTAGACTAATTATCCCTAATTGAATAATTAACAACCTTTTGTATTCATAGCAGGAAGTGTATTCTTTCTATAGAGCTGTATACAAACAACTGTCATTCGTTCCTCACAACTTCCTGTCAAAAACATTCAGATCTTTGCTTTATGTTTTTATCTTCACACATTCTGCGATCACTTAGAAACCATAGATATCTTGTGATGCAATGCATGTCTTCTACTGTGCTGACATCACGTTTTTCCCTTGATGACGCTGAAGGAAGGATTGATAAACTCTTGTTCTGACCCTCAGGGCTTTAGTGATCCTCATCAGTTTCCCAGACTCTCTTGCGAGCAGCCAGCACACGGTGAGCGCGTCTGTGCGCTCCACTCACTGATAGGCTCGTGTTGGTCACATGCGCTCTTCCTTGTTCCACGGAGGACTTGCTTTATAGCCCTCAGCCCACATACAGCGAGCGATCAAACAGAAATCACAGGACTGCTCGTGTTGGATTGTCTTTTTAATGCTTTTAACTGTGGAAAATAAAAGGAATTCCAGTGTTTTTTTAATACTCACTGACACCTGATCGCTTCAACTGGTGTTTGGATGCTGACGCGATGCTGTCAGGGGTTTGGACAGAGACAGGGTGATGTGATTTCTGCGTGATTTTCTTTTATTTCTCAGAACACGGCCGCTATGGATGCAACAGCCTCAGCGAAGTGACTCCATATAGGCTACAGCTAAAGTGTTTTTATTGCTTTAAACTTTTCCATGTCCCCGAAGATGAGTGAATGGAAAGGATCCAGAGAACATGGTTTTCTATGAGACCACCCTATTTTTCCTTTCCCAAACGCAGCGCTTTCTGTACCCTCTGAGCTGTGCTTTGGATGAAGTGTGTTTGTTGTGATGCGTCTCCCCTCCATTTCCACTGACACCAGTTTGGATTTACCCTTTTGGATCTGTGCGTTTCCAGGATGCCTCGCTTCGCAGAAGATCTGCCCACCCGCTATGGAGGAGGCGCAGGCGGTGGAGGGAGAGGCGGACCGGGCGCCGGGAGAGGGGGAGCCCGGGGTGGCGGCGCTCCGGGCGGCCCGAGGGTGTACAAGCAGTCGATGGCCCAGAGAGCCCGGACAATGGCCATATACAACCCTAACCCAGTCAAACAAAACTGCTTCACTGTCAACCGCTCCCTCTTCATCTTCCGCGAGGACAACCTCATCAGGAAGTATGCAAAGCGAATAACAGAGTGGCCATATCCTTTCTGAGCACCGTGCGCACCGAGCAGGTGCATGTGTAACCCGGCTGTCCCTGCCTGGCAACCCCACACAGATGGTTAGAAAGCAGAAACACACCACCGCCCGCAGGCCTGTTTGTCAATCTGTTGTGTTGATTATATTCAGTGGATTCTCTTCATGTTGCTGTTGAATGAGCAGTTATGTTAACACCGTGGAGCAGCTTCCACACTGTCATTATGCCTCTCCGCTCAACGCTGCCCGCACCTGTCGCTGCGCTGCTTATCTGCCTCAGCCTGACACGAAGATGTGTCCTGAATAGGTGCGGAGTTAAAAAGACTTAACATCCGCCCTTTGTGCTGCCTTTCCCAGCTCAGAGTCTCTAGGCGTGCACATCGAGTGATAAGTTATTTTGTCAAAATGTGAGCTGTAAACTGTCCAGCAGCAGCCCCAGCGTCACACTACCAAACATCGCTATTGATCCACGCAGAAGTCAATAAAAAGCTGCGTGCGTAAAAGGGCAGTGGTAAGAAAGTGCTGTGGCTGCGTGCACCGCCTGACCTCCACTCCTCGTGCCCTCCGGTCATGTAATCTTAAGAAAGGGCTTGGTTTGTTTTTGTAAAAAAGAGAGACCGCTGGTCCAGGGTTGCAGCTCCGCCTCGTTGTGTTCGTTAGGAGCCCTCTCCATGGTGCTGCGCCCACGCAACTCTTTCAGAGCTGCAACAAAAAATTCCACTTCAAAAGTCATGGTCACCCTTCCAATCTGCGTATCTTTGTTAAAATAAGTGCACCATGGGTGATGATGAACAACATTAGCTGTCATTGAATAACAATGACTATCAATGTTCATGATGCAAGTTTAACTTCCTATTCCAAGAGACAACAAATAGAAAAAAAGACAGGAAACAAAAAATCATAACATAAGTAGCTATCATATACCGATTGTTTGTCTTTTGAATATTCACTGTCGGGAAAACACTGTTCTGGTTGTACAATCAGGCTGGGTACTAGTTCTACCTCTTGGCTGTAATGGGCATAAGCTCCGTATTCCCCTCGCGATTCACAGGCTCTCAATAGGCCCTGACCCGCGGGCAATGACCCAGTGAAAATGGATTGCAGAATGAGCCAACCATTGAAAATGGTTGGAAATGGTCAACCATCTGGAAATATGATGAGCGCATGTATAGGACGCTTTCTTTCTGGGAAGCCTTGAAACACAGCCTGTGGAAGGTTTATGCTTAAGTGGAAAGACTACGTCCAAATTAATGGCATTTTGCATACAGCAACATGGATGATAATTAGATTGATGTTAATGTTGTCTGTCATGATTAGGCACCTTATTTTATTAGACTGATAATCACCAACATTGATTGGTTACATTTATCCTGGTAATCATTCCATATGAAAATGTATAGTCAATGATTTGAGCTGTGAAATGAAATGAATGCAACTTTCTCTCTTTCAACACTTCCTTAACTCTCTCACTCCATTTGAGTACATGATCCTAGCTACAATTATCGCCAACTGCATCGTCCTGGCCCTGGAGCAGCATCTACCTGAACACGACAAGACGCCCATGTCAGAACGCCTGGTAAGTGCTTCCACTTGATGACCTCACTTCCTTTAGACAGATAAAGTAGTCAGAGTTAACCCCAGTTAAACAGATTTGTTTCTATTTTATAAGCATGTGTTTTGTTGGTCAACAGAAGCTTTCACTGAGCTTCCCAGTTCAAACAAACTGCAAGAGTCACGTCGCATAGCTAACCAGTATCAGAGAGAGCAAACCAAACAGACTGCAACACTGGGAGGTCAAGAGGCAACTCCCGCCTGGCGTACCGGGGGGGAAAAACAAACAACGCAAATAGCACGTAGCTTCATGGTTCAGCACTTTGCTCTTCTTGTTCTTAAGGGTGTCGTAGCTTAGGGGAGTTTGTCTTTAAATAGGAGTGTTACAAAGAGCAACAGCTTGATGTTTAAAAGTCAATTATTTCCTCTCGAAAACCCACTCCTGTTTTTAATCGTCTCAGCAGCTGCAATGCAAATTCAGCAGTGAAGATGTTAACAACTCGGAAAACAAAAAGGTAGCATTCATCACCTGAAAAAGGGATTAGAGTGGCTACACAAAGGAGTAAACAGGCATCCTGTCGCTGCCTCCTCCACCTCGAGCATGTAATACAACAAGAAGCCTTTTAATTAGAACAAGGGATCAGCTATTATTTATGAAGCTCTGTCAACAGAGTAGGAGGCGTGTTGTAAGTGGAGGCGATGATGGAAGCTATTCAGCAAGGGTATTTCAGATCCATGGCTGATCTTAAGCACCACGATCCTTCGGGATATCCCCAGCCGTTTTATGCAAGCGTATTCATAATTCACGAGTATTTTAGATGTATGTATAATAGATGTTAACACACTACTAGTACAGACATTTATCCAGGCAGCCCTCCAGCCCTGTCATTACATAACAGATTCAATTGTTTTGTCTATGAGTCTTGTCTTTGTATTTCATGCCAAAATGAATATACTGTACGACATTGAACGCTTGATGTGAAACGTTGCAGTCTCCTACAGCTTCTCTTATTGGCCAGGATCAGTGTATCTGCTTCTCAACAATAACAAACTGTCATTATTTTACCACCGCAGCCTTCACGCATGAAACCGCATCTCTGGTCCAACAAACATTATCTCTGGATGTGCACAGCAGTCAGCCAGCTCCATAGAAAAGGTCACGTTTCTCATAGTGCTCGAGCCTGTCACACTGCTTTTACGTGATTATTTATGTTGGAGACCAAGTGATGCTGGGGGTTGGAGACACTCTCTGTCAGGTTGTAGTATGCTGGGAACGAGGGTGGAAAATCGCAGGGGAGAGAGAGGTTAATGTAGGCGTGAGATATCTTCTGCTCATCGCCCCAGGCTTTTGCAGATAATAATGGAGGCAAAGGAAAAAGTGTCATGTCATCCACGCCTGATCAGTTTCCCTTACTTACAGCAAGGCCCAGGATTAACCTAGGCACATAGTGCAAATGATAAAACTCTGACACTTTTAGGAGATGACGCAGAGTGCCCCAATCAATCATGTCCAGTCATGTGTGTTGTGCATATTCTCTCATTGCCAAAGAGCTCTTTCAAACTGGAATATCGTTGTACTATTGGGATAATGTGCTTTTGATTTGCCCTGATTTCACAGTACAGAGGCACTTCTGGTCACTCAAGGTACCTCCAAATTTCATTATGCCTAATTTGTTTGTCTTAATATCACACCAGAGTGGCACTTGAATAATGCAAATGCCTTTCTGGCTGTTCAAAATGTTGCTGAAGTGTATTTTTGTTCGGTACACATGCCCTTTTGGTTGACCCAATCTTTACCCCTATGGTTGCAACAAGAGGCCCCCAAGTTCCCTGTGGTCGCTCCAATTGCCTGCTAAATTCCTTGCTTAATTTTTCTCACAATGATTAACCACAGGGGCACTTCAATGTCCCAAGTAACCCCCTAGTTGGTGTATGTACCCTCTTGGTTTGCTCCAAAACTTCCACTTGTAACCCAAATGGTCCTGTGTTTGTTCCTTCTGATGCTCTAGTCCAGTGGTTCCCAACCTGGGGGGCGCCAAAGATCGCAGGGGGGGGTGCCAGGCCTCAGTTGATTTGAGGCCAAATATCATATTTAGAAATAATTGATTAATTAATTTGAATAAAAAATCAAGTTAGTAGCTATTAAAGGCATAAAAAGACAGAAATGTATAATTGTTTCTTTAATAGAAATGTTTCTTCTGCCTGTAAAGTGTCCAAACCAGGCTTTTCTGGATAAGCGCATTTTTAAAACAGTCATTGTCCATGCTGGTTTCAGTTGGATTATTTGTCGCAGTTGCTCCGATCAGATCGGTCTCCTCCATTTTGTAGATTATTTATGACTTTTGAATCCACATAAACACAACGGCAAAATCCGGCTTACTTTGAACATATGTTTTAAACAGTTTAATCCCTTTGGGAATTGTTGTACAGTGGGAATCCAAATGAATTAATCCTGAGTCTAATAACCATCAAAGTCACTCCAATAGTGCTCTTACGCTTTCATCCTCCTATAACAAAATACTTCACATTTCATCCAGTTTGTGACAGTAGTTGTAGCATTTTTGAGACTTTTAAACTTTAATTACCGCTGTTGCCGCAACTTCCAACAGGAGTCATTTGGGGGGGGCCCTTGGGGAAAAAACCCTGCTCTAGTCGTTCCTAAGTTCCTCCTTCCGTCCTTTTTGTCCAAACATCACACCAGTAGGGCAATTGAACAGCCCGAGTCTCCTCTTCTTTCTCCAAAATCAAACCTAACAGCCCCCCTGTAGTGCCTTTTCTAGTACGTTTGCACCTCAGGATGCCCAGCTGGTTAGTACTCCTGGTCATTTTCCTGTATCCCCCTATAATACCCCTCTGCTTGACCTCTGCTCTCATCCAGGTACCCTTCTACCTCCTAGTTGTACCAAATGTTCAGTAACCATCAACTTGGGTAGCCCTCTGGTAAAATAGCCCCTCTGCTCCCTTTAGCGTGGAGCTACTTAATTTCTCTGGTATGGTAAACAAGAATAAACCCTTACCCCCAACAAATGATATTCTCCATGTATGTTAAATAATACATTTTAAAAATATTTAGCGTTCATGAGGCTCCTTTGAGTTAGCATTGCCCTTAAGATCATACTGTGTGTGTGAATATTTGTTTTCACTGTATTTACTCTGTTTTCATCCAAAGAAGCGGACTGCACTTCTGTTCATGCTTCTGCAAGAAGTGAAAGAAGACGTCTTTCTTTCTTTGCCTTACCCCCCTCTCATTCGCTTAACGCTTCATTGACCCCTCTCTGACCTCACACAAAAATATCTTCCTGTAACTCTCATCCTCTCTCTGTCTTTCTGTAGGACGACACAGAGCCCTACTTTATTGGAATATTCTGTTTCGAGGCCGCCATTAAGATCATCGCCCTGGGCTTCGCGTTTCACAAAGGCTCCTACCTCCGCAACGGCTGGAATGTAATGGACTTCGTGGTCGTCCTCACGGGGTGAGTCCCTCGACCGCTCGTGGTCCGCAGTGAGAGAGTGGTTGCTTTTGTGTGTGTCTGAGTGCATAGAGAGAGAGAGAGAGAGAGAGAGAGAGAGAGAGAGCGAGAGAGAGAGAGAGAGAGAGAGAGAGAGGTTTGTGAAATCAACCTCTTCCAGTAAAAGGGTTTGCCTACTAGCGTCAACACAAATCAGGAAAATATGTGAAACAAGTGTCACAAGGAACATCTGTTGCTTTAACCTTTGCATATTGCTCCTTTTTAGTGGACTACACTACATGGACACACTGTATGGCTTTCAATCTTCCTGTTTTGGTCAGACATTTTACGTAATAATTTGTAAAATAACTTTTTTTCAAGAGAATGTGAAACTTTTGTCTACCATACGCACCTCTTGGAAAATTGAGTATGATTACGTTTTGTATTTGATAAATGGTTTTCAGCAATAAGTATATGTTGACACTGCAACTCATTTGACCACAGAGTTCTGCAAAATATGCTTTTGTAGTTCCTCTTAGCAGGGCTTCGACAAGAGTGTATGTCTCGCAGAGAAGCTTGGAGACATGCAATGGCCTGTATTTCTTATTATCAGAAAGGTGTCCTGGAAAGTCAAAGACAGAGCAATAGTCAGGTCAATCGTTCTGAGAGAATACTGCTGGGAGTCCAGCATAGGCAGCCCTGAAGATATGACTGTGAGGCGGTATGATGCTCCTTCTCTGCTTTTAACTATCCATGGCATCAGGAGGTTGTCAGCCTAAAGGATGTTTTTCAACTGAGCTTATAATTCCTCCACCTCCTGTATTATTCTGAGAGCCCTTATTTTATTGTTTAAAGAGACAACAATCACACTGTCCTGTGAAGCCATTTAAAACTGGTAACCATAATCTTTAACAAAACAATCTGTGGAGTGGAGTATTTTAAAACACACAAGCTGGCACATTTAGAGCGTTACGATTATCACACGGTTGCGATATGTTGATCGTTTGTTACCATGGCACCCTCACCTCTTTCATCGGAAGGTGCATCCTGATGATGCTGAGTTTTTTGGGACGCATGAATTGCTCGATAGATTCAGAACGCTTTGGTCCCATTATAGTTTACACTGAGGAAGCCGTCCTTTTTAGTTTAACCCTTGCTCCTCTACACCTCTGAATGCATGGTGAAAATACCATCAGTGGCTTCCTCAACAGCTACCACCTTATGGAGTACCTTACAGAAGCTTGGAAAGCTCTCAATCAATGTTGACGATGTCACTACTGACTCCCACTGCTGGACAAACCATTAGATGTTTACCTTGGATGGATTACAATGGAAAAGTAGTCCATTAATCCACTCTTATCATGTTCCTGTGTCCCCCTCCACAGCCTGAATAAGTCAGTCAGAAATGTGCCTGATTCATCCAGGTTCACTTGATGCTAACAGTAATTGCTCTGGTACCTTGAGTAGATGAGTATTGTACTGCCTTATTGCTTTGTGGGGACCAGATTGGATTTGAGCTGTAAATAGTGTCCTGTTTCAGAAGGTCAATATGCAAATAAATCAAGGTGTGTATTAGGGCTGCTCAATTAATCGTATTTTAATCGCGATTACGATTATGGCTTGCAACGATTACGAAAAAAACTTAATCGGAATAAAAAATATTATTATTATTACTTTTTTTTTTTATAATATTTTTTGTTTTGGGTTTTTCAGTTGAGTTATACTTAACGTTCAGGGTAATCAACTGTTAAAAACATACTTTTCAAAACAATGTTGCTCCAATAAATGGATGTTTATGAATAATCGCATTTAATAATCGCAATTACAATTATTGACCCAAATAATCGAGATTATGATTTTTGCCATAATCGAGCAGCCCTAGTGTGTATTGAAAGAGCAACAAAGATTACCAAGTGTTTGTGATGAGAAAAGCAGACAAATAAAACTGAAGAGAGGGAAAAAGCTAGATTGATTACCTTGTCATATTTTCTTTGGATTCCTTTTGTAAATACATCTTGCATTTTAAGCCAACACACAGAAAGCTGGTGCTCAAAATTACATTTCTTCTCCTGTTTCAAGCCCCTGCCAGCACAATAACATTCTGAGATGCTCTTTTCTTTTGCTTTCACACAGAGCATAAGTGGGAAGATGTGTGTTTGGAGCTGTGATTGGACTTAATGTTCCCCTGCAATACCTACCACACACAGTGGTAGAATTGTGTGAGGAAGATGAAAGAAGGCTTTCTGTCAAATTAAATCTGGAGATCACAGGCACATCTTCATGGCACATTGCTTTGAGCAAAACACTTAAATTCCACCATCTTCTTTTTTTAAATTCTTTATTTATTTGGAGTCACATTATAATACAAGTACAGTTTTTCAAATCATATATTTTTCGAGACCCGAAAGTAACAAATGAAATAGCAAACCAAATTAGTCAAAATAAAACATTTGAAGAAATATGGAAAAAGTGGAGGATTTACATATCCCAAAGACGACCATCCCTATTGACTGTTTCTATACACCGATTCAATGTATATGTATAGATGTGTATGTATGCTCACGTGTATGTGTGTATGTATATATGTATGTTGATATGTATGCATATGTACATGTGTAGACATTTGCTATTTCAAACAACCCCTGTGTACTTTTTCGTTTTTATTTTATTTTGAATTCCACCATCTTCATGTGGAAAGAGGCTTCAGCTGCTTTCAGTGCCGACACCTTGGAGATCAATAGCCTAACAGCAGTGGTTCTCAGCCTTCTGCGTCACATTTCAAGGTTAAAAATAAGAGGCGTCATCATTATGTTGTCATGCATAGGAAGTCATTTAAATCATCGGTAGCCAATTAGATGATTGGATATTGAATTGAAAGGATGATGTTAATATTTTGTTATTTACTGGGTGTCATGTGTCTAAAAATCTCTTGAGAAGCTAAAGCAGGAGAAATAGCTCTTCAGTTTTGACTACCCGTTGCTGACACAGCTGGATACAAATTAACCATTATGTTGTGTGTGTGTGTGTGTGTCTCCGTTTGGTTGCCAAGCGACCATGGTAGACAATGTGCCTCTGCCTGATCGGGTGTTTCTGTATGTATGTGAGTGACGCTGTGTTTGCTTTGTGCTCGACATGCTCCTGGGGGATTGTGGGGGGGGGGGAAGGTGTCCGGCGCCAGGCACACATCAATACGAGATCGATCAGATCACCACTGGGTCGCAGTATGAGAAAAATCTGATCCTTGGAAATACCGTCCCGATGGCAGAGTGATAAAAGGAGGAGAAGACATTTGAAGCATGTGCTCAGATGTGCAGCCTCCCTAAGTGAACTTAAGAGGATTAGAAGGACTATACTGCGCACCTGGGTGTTCAAATCTGCTCCAGCTTTGTCCTGTGTACTCCACACCGGGGAGGAGCCGCCTGCAGGCCAGAATTACTCATCACACTTAAGTTGGTATATAAGAAGAGCTCATAACTCGGTAAAGATATTCGGAGTAGCAACAGAATAATAAATGGTGAGCGAGAAACCCTTAGGAACGTTAACACTAATGCAGTTATCAATCAATGCATGAATAATAGATGCAAAAATATAATCAAAAGTGATCGTTGAGGGTTTTTATTTGATCTAACTGGTCAGAAATCTAATTTAAGATACACTGTGAATATGTGGCCGTGGATCTGCTATTACTGCTTTACTTGATATTTAAAATATTAAGCTCCGTTAATCTTTATGGACATATATATATCCTTTTTTTTCAAATATCTAAGAATCAGTGCTAATTCTCCGCCTGTTAGTGCTTAGGATAATTATGTGGATACAGCCATCCGATCCTAATGAAAGGATCCAAATGATAGTGTAGCTGGAGGCAGTGGCAGACCTTCAATCTGTCCTGATCAGGCATTAGGAGCCCCTAATAAGAGAATCAATCTGTCAAAGGCCTAATCAATAGAACACCGAGCCGGCCAGCCCAGGAACAGAGCGTCGTGATGAGGAGCCAGGCACGTCCAATCACACGCTGAGCATGACGCCGTCTGACATAAAGAGACTGCGTGAGTAGCCTGCTCTGCTCTCAAACCCATTTTCTTTTCTGGAGCATATAGAACATTTGCCAGTATGAAGCATCGTGCTCGCAGAAACTGGGTGATCATGACTCAGTGGCTGAACATTTTATAAAAAGTCCAAGAGGGAAAAGATGACATGACTCACTTTTGTTCTAATTTCAAAGGCTAAACTTAATAGGAGTCCATTTAGTCTGGTTTCCTCCAGATACTAGAAGAGGCAGTTTAGGTTACATATTCTTCTTTAAGCCAGGAAGTAAAGTGGTTTCTTACGTTCTTGAAATGTTGCCATCAGTCACCAAGCCAAGAAAGTGATTTATAATACTTTCTACCATGGCCAAGGGGAGTTATTAGGTCTGATTGGCCGTTTGTAATATATTCTGTGGCTCCTGAGAAACTCTGTGTCTGAGAAAGAATCTCCTGGGTTCTCACACACGGCTCGTACTCTTACATACAAAGAGTGATGCATTATAACTTGTGTCAAATTCAAGTAATCAATTTTATACGCAACAAAGTACTCGTGAGCCAGGGACCGTGACATAGTATATAGAGCAAATGAGTGTTCCTGACCTATAGGGTGGCAGCTGCAGCGTATAGGTGGGTCTGAAAGTATATATTTCAAACATACATATCTGATCTCACGTGGTACATCTTTACTTTAAAATTCAATGTAAAACATACTGTGTATATTCATGCTCTGTATGTTGTATGTCACTGTGTAGGCAGATGTGTGAGATGTAAATGTCCTGACAAATGGATCAATTCAAAACTGATTAATATGAACCTTTTTGTAATTCACCCCCCTTTTTAAATCACATTGTGAGGTACAAAAAAGATGACTGTCCAAAGCCCCTCGTACTTGTATTACTTGCCTGGCTGCAACTCCTTTTACTTTATTATCCATTGAGACGTTCCACCTGGAGCAGGGCCATTTAGGCACTCACGCTTTTACAAATTAGAACATTT